GAAAGGAGAAAGGGGAAGGAGGAGGGAAAGGAGAAAGGAGAACGGACAAAAAGGAAATGGAAAAGGAGAAAGTGAAAGGGGAAAGAGAAAGAACAAAGGGAATGAGAGAAGTAAAAGTGAAAAGGAAAGGAAAAAAAAGGGGAAAGGAATGAGAATGAGAAAGGGCAAGGAGAAAGGAGAAACGGGAAATGGGGAAAGAAGAAAGGGAAGGAGAATGGGAAAGGAGAATGCGAGGAGAGGGCAAGGACAAAGGGAAAGGAGAAAGCCAGGAACAGTGAAAAGAGGAGGGAACGATATCAGGGGTTTCCGTGTCTGTTTATTGAATGTTGTTTTCATGCATACTTTTGGTGCGCCTTTTCCTTGCGAAGACTACGTCTTACGCAAGGGAGGCAAGACACACCATCCCCAAAATATGAAAACAACATTCCATGAACAGCCGCGGAAATCCCTGATATCAATTATTTATATATATATATATATATCATGTCCTCGCATGTCTACCACAGCACATCTGTCCTGGGAGTTCCGGTTGAACGTCCAAAGAAGCGCATCATTGAGACAAAATGGCAGTTGGCCCGTTGGCCCCCAACCAGGGCGAGGAGTGAGCCAGAGGAAGACATCAAGCTCCACTACTGGAGTGAATCTGGGGTCGGCGGCAGGGGGCGTAAGCCCTTTAATTCGGCTCCGCCGGCTCCACACGAGTGGCTTGCCCCACGAGCGTCCCAGAGCGACTAGAGCTCTATGGTGAGGCGCGCCCCAAACCGCCGACCCTCCGACGCCGGGCCCCGAAAAACACCAAAAATCCTTCAGGAGGGTGGGGGAGAGCTTTTTGGCCGGAATCCGGGTCGCTCATAAGCGTCTCCAAGAGCATAATCCCCCCCCCCCGATTTTGAGGGTACCTAAAATCGGAAAAGAGTGCCGTTTTGACACATTTTTCGGACGATTTTCAGCTTTTCGAAATGGACAAAATGCTGTAAATTACAGCATTTTTGCGTTTTAACGTCTTTTGCGGGAGCAATTCAAAAACGCAGAAAATGCTGTAAATACCATTACTTTTTGGACCCGAGATGCACAAAACGCTGAAAATACCAGTGTTTTTGCAAGCAAAGCAAAAAAACACTGTAAATTACAGCATTTTTGGCGGGTTGATCGCAAAAAATGCTGGTATTTACATGGTTTTTGCAATTTCAAGAAAACGTGGAAGGCACGAAACACTGTAAATAGCGGTGTTTTGGCTACTTTTGGACACCGAAACGCTAGTATTTACGCAGTTTTTTGCCTGTGGCGGCGCCAAACCCCTGTAAATTACAGCATTTTCTTCCCTTTTTGAACCGATTTTTTGCGTTGATGAACGCAAAAAACGCTGGTATTTACGCGTTTTTCAAAAAATCGAAGATTGTGACGTGAACGAAACCCTGTAAATAACAGTGCTTTAGCCACTTTCGGGAACTAAAACTGTGGTATTTACGCGGGTTCTTGCCATCTGACAGCGCAAATTGCTGTAAATTACAGCACTTTGTGCGCTGTTTATGTTCAATTTTTAAACGCGCGATGCTCTCACATGTTCTTGGCATTCTTCCACAAGAAACAATGTTGCAGATTGAAACTGGACCACAGCGTGACCCGAAAGAAAACTGGATGGAGGAGACACACAGAAGCTTTTGCACACACAGGGGCTTTTACGCAAAGAAGTCTTTACACAAAGGAGCTTTTTACACACAGACGGTTTTACACAGTGAAGTCTTTACTCTAAGGAGCTTTTGCACACAAACGTCTCGGAGCTTTTACACACAGAAGCTTTTACACGAAGTAGTCTTTACACAGAGTGTTTTTTACACACAGACGCGTTTACACACAGAAGCTTTTACACAGAGAAGCCTTTACACAGAGGAGATTTTACACACAAAAGCATTTACACACAGCAAGCTTTTACACACACAGGGGCTTTTACACAGACAAGCCTTTACGCAGAGGAGCTTTTACACACAGAAGGTTTTACACAGAGAAGTCTTTACTCTAAGGAGCTTTTGCACGCAAACGGCTTGGAGCTTTTACACACAGAAGCTGTTACACAGAGAAGTCTTTACACAGAGAGCTTTAACACACAGCCGGTTTACACACAGAAGCTTTTACACAGAGAAGCCTTTACACAGAGGAGCTTTTACACACAAAAGCATTTACACACAGCAAGCTTTTACACACACAGGGGCTTTTACACAGAGAAGTCCTTACACAAAGGAGCTTTTTTCACACAGAAGGTTTTACACAGAGAAGTCTTTACTCTAAGGAGCTTTTGCACACAAACGTTCTTAGGAGCTTTTTCACACAGAACTTTTTACACGAAGAAGGCCTGACAGAGAGAGTTTTTACACACAGACGCGTTTGCACATAGAAGCTTTTACACAGAGAAGCCTTTACACAAAGGAGCTTTTTACACACAGAAGGTTTTACACAGAGAAGTCTTTACTCTAAGGAGCTTTTGCACACAAACATCTAGGAGCCTTTACACACAGAAGCTGTTACACAAAGAAGTCTTTACACAGAAGGCTTTTTACACACAGACGCGTTTGCACACAGAAGCTTTTACACAGAGAAGCCTTCACCCAGAGGAGCTTTTACACACAAAAGCATTTACACACAGCAAGCTTTTACACACACAGAGCTTTTACACAGAGAAGTCCTTACACAAAGGAGATTATTACACACAGAAGGTTTTACACAGAGAAGTCTTTACTCCAAGGAGCTTTTGCACACAAACGTCTAGGAGCTTTTTCACACAGAACTTTTTACACGAAGAAGGCCTGACAGAGAGAGGTTTTACACACAGACGCGTTTGCACACAGAAGCTTTTACACAGAGAAGCCTTTACACAGAGGAGCTTTTACACACAAGAGCATTTACACACAGCAAGCTTTTACACACACAGGGGCTTTTACACAGAGAAGTCCTTACACAAAGGAGCTTTTTTTCACACAGAAGGTTTTACACAGAGAAGTCTTTACTCTAAGGAGTTTTTGCACACAAACGTTCTTAGGAGCCTTTACACACAGAAGCTGTTTCACAAAGAAGTCTTTACACAGATATATAGCTTTCACACACAGACGCGTTTACACACAGAAGCTTTTACACAGAGAAGCCTTTACACTTTACACAGAGTTTTTACACACGGAAGCTTTTACACACAGTGAAATCTTTACACAGACGTTTCACACAGAGAAGCTTTCACACACAGAAGCTTTTACACAAAGAAGTCTTTACACAGCTTTCGGGAACTCACTTGCTCCCCAAAAAAGCCGTCTATTTCCAACAAAGCTCCTATTCCATGAACTTTTTTCAAAAAACATAAGGAATATATTTCTGAAGCAGGTCCCCATCCAAAAGCTTTCAAGCCCACACTGCGATGAAATGGAGGGTCGAGAAATCCGGCGGAGCCGACGAGGGGCGTCAGCCCTTAAAATATTATCTAACTATACGTATGTTAAACATATACTACAAATGAAACATATATTATATATTATCCAACCCATCAACAAGTCTCTTTGTTGGTGGCTCATGTCGTTCGGTCTTCGGCCTGCTCCGGCTTGGAGGAGTCCTAGCTTTCGGACTTCGACTTCGCCGCCGCTTTCGAGCCTAAAATGAGTCACCCTTTGACATTGCAGTGAGCTGCATATTACTTTCAGTTTCATATAGTTCAATATCTAATCATGCTTCATAGTTTAATTATGTTCAATCCATTTTGTATCATCTTGCCATTGCAATCCAAAGAGATTGATTTGAATGGAATTAAGCTTTCCGCAGGGCTGCTTCGGCCTGTCAACACCATGACCGTTTGCCATTCGCGATCATATCTTTTCATACAGTATATATATCTTTTTATATGTTATTGCTGCTTTTCAGCCTTTTCTCGGAGATGATGCTTTTTCATGCTTTTTCACGTCCACCATTCACCATTTGATGCTGCAAATGCTGTGGTTTCCCAACCTCGACCTCTCTTTGGACTGCGACTGTAACTTGGACTGCCGCTGGGACTCCTGCAACTGTCACTCTGAGACGGCAGCAGTTGACAGTTTGAACATCCTCACCCAACTACAACTACAAGGCCAACATCTCTAGCCCCAGGAGCAATTACAAACAATCTCACTGGCGCACTGACAACACTGACGGCACTATTGCAACGAGTCCGTGTCAATCAAATTGACTCCAATCGTTTGTTCCGCGGCCAATGTGAACACAGTTGCTCGTCCTGTCAGCTGGCCGAAACCTTGTCAGGTCGAGAAAATGAGGCTCAACTCAATGGTGGCTTCAAGAACTCTGATATTCTACTGGGTCTTTCCTTCGGCAACTTTTCTGTTTTCCACTCTTTCAGAGGCGTTGCCCTAAAATTCCAGTACAGCTTTGGCTGCTAGCAGTCTGAGGTTTCCCCACTTCGCAGCCAGCAGTTTCTCATGACTAGCAGTCTGAGGTATCAATTCCTTGGTGCAAGTCTATCAACTTTCGGAATGACCTATATGCGATCGCCAGCCATTGATGTAGACACAACACGTGGCCCGTTCAGCATGTTTGGACTCTGCGCTTCTTCCCAGTTGGCTTATAGTGTTAAAATGACCCTTGCATCAAACTGTCAACCAGCCTCCAAATACATCCAAAAGATTCCAAAAGAACATATTAACAAACTTAGCAAACCCTTTGAATCCTGTCCTGCTTTCAATAAGCTTCATTCTGCCACTTTTTGGGACTCCATTTGCGACGTCTGAGCCTTCTGCCGGGACCCCTCGACGCACAGGCGGAGCTGCAGTACGCATTCCAGGGGAGGTTTTTGCAAACCTGCGAAGGTTGCTGGATGTCGTCTCCGGTGAAATTATGACATGCAAACAAGCTGCTCAGAGCAAGGCTTCTGTGGATTTGTTGGGAGGTTTTGGAGGAGGTTTTGGACGGTTGCGGCACGTCTCACATGTTTTAGATGCAACTGAATCCAGCCTGATCATCACACATTTCCCCTGCACGTTGCGACCATTGAGCCCCTGTTGCGCGCGCTGAACGTTCTACGTTCTGGACACAACATCCAAAACGAACGATTCTGATTCCATTTTTTCTTTCATACCCGCGGCTGCCCCATTGGGAGCGCAAAATTCTAGGAAGATTCAAGAGTACACAGGGACCATAGTGTCCAGGTCGAAATAAAGATTGTTAAGACAAAATTCAGTTGTATATGTCATACACCCACTATAGGCTCTATAGTGACTAGCTTCTGTATGAACAAGGTGATTTCTTGATACCAACATGTTGTGAAAAGTTTGGGACACTGCACAGCTGCCGCGACCTCCACCTACGGCCACTGCGCTGCTCATCTCAGCATGGCCTGCATTGCCTTTCGGGCATCGTCCCGACGGGCAAACTCCACGATGGCGATGCGCGTGTCAGGCGCCTGAAATCCGTCAGTCTCAGGATGTTTCAGGATGTTTCAGGATGTCTCAGGGCTAGGGGGTCTCAACTCCTGCGTCAGTGTGAGGTTTTCAGAGTCAAGCCTTCATAGGCAATGGCCTAGTTTCCGGCCCACACTCTTTTGCATTGAAACTGACAAGCCAAGTGAGATCTAGGAAAGGTCCAGGCCCCTTTCATATTCTTGTTCTGAGTGATGTTCACATTCCGGACCTTGCGGAACACATTGGTCTGTGATGGTCTGTGCAATTTGATGGAATGAAGCCTTGCTAACTTATCTAATTTCTATCTTGAATCCCTGGGATGGCGGACTCTTCCGTAGTGTTCAAACTGCGCTTGGAGAGCCTCACTCGTCACGCCATCCTGCAGAGTCCAGGAATCCCACGAGAGTCGTCGACGACAATGCGACAGATGCGACGACAACAACAACAACAACAACAACAACAACAACAACAACAACAACAACAACAACAACAACTTTGCCAAACCCAACCACCGAGAATCACGGGCCTTGATTCCCTGGACACACAACGTTGCGTAGGGAAAAGCCATCTTCTCATGTTACATGGCGCATCTGCGCCCGAACGTCCACTGTCCTCTTTGTTGTCTGTCAATGTCAATGCTGCGAGTCACAAAAATTGATACCCACATCTAAAGTTGACCAATTAGATCCAACTAGTATTAGTACACGTACAGGCAGATTGCCAGTAGAACCTGCCACCTGCTCCTTGAGCCCATACCACAAGAGGTATGTCTTTGATGCAAGGTTTCAAGGTTGCAGCCGTTGCAGCTAAAACATGCGGACACCAACAACCACAGCGTCACCAAGGATCCACAAGGCCAACGCTGTGGACCGCTACAAGTATGACCCCTTGCCTCCAGCTTCAGAGGACATAGCGCAAAGTGCACGTGGATGTCTCTGCCTAGCGAAGCAAACGATTCCTGAACCTGCAAACTGTCGAAACATGTTGAAACTTGATTTTGATCTCGTGGCATATTATGGCAATGTCTAGTGGAGACCAGTGCAAGTCTCCTGCCTTGCCAGCAGATATCCTTGACTCAAAGAACTTGTGGTTTGAATTGATGTGAATTGTTATCTTCACTCGCCAGTCACCAGCATTCTGCCTTGTCCTTTCGCCTTCTATAGCTGAGACAATGGCTTGGAGAAGAGAAAGATTGGCCCAGTGGCCTTCCAGGACTGATGCAAGGCATCACTAGAGATATAAACTGAAAGAAAATGCCAAAAAAGGGTGGAGTTGAATAATATAGCTTCAGTCTGCACTTCTACCTGATTGTACGTCTCCTCTAGATTCTGGATATCAAGTAAGAGCTATCAAGTAAGAGCCCGACAGAACCCGAGGTAGGAGAAGTGGCCTGAGCGGAGCAAAGCACGGCCCTGTGACTTGCTCAAGAGCATGGACATGATGTTCAAATCTACCAGGTCCCAGACACACTCAGGCTGGCAGTTGCCTGCGTATTTTTGACATGCGAAAGTAGGGAAGGATCAGGCTTGGTGTTGGAGACATCAGACACATGATCAAAAACACTAGAGGCTAGAGAGAAATACTGAAATAATTGCCAATAACATGAATGTGCATGCACACACAAGAAAGCATGCAATACAGCATTCAAGCAAGAGCTGGGCGGACGCAAAGAGCCAATGCTCGGACTTCTCGGAGCCTGCCTAAAACGCCAGAAACGCGAAGAAACCACCGATGTTTCAAAAAATGATTAAAACATGACAAGTATTGACAAACATTCGCTGTGAGGTACCCACAGCCATGGCAACAGAACCATGTCTTTAAAGATGCAATATGATGAGCCTCGGAAACTGTGACGCCGCTGCGTAGGCCTTTAGGCATTTTTTCACAGCTTAGCAAATAGAGTACCCAGTATGATGAGGGTCCTCAAGTTGTGTCAACTTCAAACAATGGTGCAAACACATTTGTGAAAATATTCAATGAAAAAGATGTCATATCAACAGAACGCGCGCGCGCGTGCGCGCGCACACACACACACACTGCTTCCCCCATTCTCACTTCCCCGCTTTCGAACGCGGCCCACGGATGCCCACGACATGCAATTATGGACACGACAAAAAAACTGCATCAACTCCCAAACCCCAACAGAAAAGGGAAACCTTTCGCATCACATTTGGGAATCACAAGTAATTACACTACTTGATTCGTAGATCCTTTACATCGTGTTACATCGCCAATCCGTCCAAGGCTTATGGCTGATTCTCTCCTTTCAAGTATCGACCGCTCCTGATGCTCCTGTACATTTGTTCATGCCAGGCCTGGAGAACCACATCACGCCGAAAGCGATGCTTGGGCCAGGACAGAAGACAACAATTTCTGAGTGGATATTGAGGATACGGATGGTTTGTAACACCTTCCACCTAATACATCCTAATACATCTAATACTCACCTCCAGAAATGGTTTTCTGGGACCTTTCTGTGCATTCAACTGTTTGCGGCACCAATGGAGTCTTGAAGTCGGGTCCCAGAGCCAAATCGATTCGTCATGTCGTAGTACATTCTAATAAGAAAGGAGAGGACTCCACTGATGCCGCTGCAAGAATTGTACGCAAGTTGAAACTTCTGAGTCTTTGAATCTGCTGACCTCATCTGGATCTTTCGTTTTCTCTGTGCGGGCATTGGCTGACACTGCTTCACACACATCCCATCCCTGTTTTAAATCTTGGGATTTTTAGGATGCGAAGCAAATCACACATTTGAAGTGGAGCTGATTGATCAGAGAGCTTCATTGGTTTCAGGCTGTCAGCTCTGGCGGGCTCAGAGATCGAGGCCTCCCCCAGCTGCTGGTCATCCCATGATGGGAATCTTCTGGAATCTTCAGAATTTTTGTATAGCAAAACCCCCCAAAAATATCCAAAAATTGGGGGATGACCATCCCCAAAATGACGGGAAGATAAACATAGATAAACATAGATAAACCATATCCTGACCATGGATGACCATGGCACTTTTTTTGCACATATCACTTGCTGAACTTGAAGTTCGCTCACAGGTGATTCGTCGACCAGTCATGTCCAGTCCAGTCTACGTACCGGCCTCCTCCCTTGAAGTTCAGATATTTGGGCTCGCAAGTGATGGGCCACAGCTGGACATGTAGCTTCCTGAGCTTGTGCCTGGCAAAGCAAGATTTCCCAGGCAGAACTGGAAACCGATCTTTCAGGGCAGGAAGGCATGTCCTGTTTGGGTCTGGGGGATAAAATGCTTGTGGATGGGGTCACAAGGACCAAGACCACTGCTGGTTGTGAAACACCACGTGTCCCAGGCTTTTGGCTAAATCCTCATTCCTTATCATTCCCTGTCCACACCGTCCACACCTATTTCCTATCCTATCTACTACACTGCACACGGTATTGCACAGTCACGTCTATGAGGATCTCTGTGTTTCTATTGCGAGTAGATGCTGATATTTTATGATATGTTCATGTATTTTCATTGTCATTGGTGCCTCCATCTCCAGAAGAACTTCGGCTTCTGAGGAGTCATTCTGAGCAGGTGAATCAGACTGAAACCGATGCAACGGATGAAACTTAGGAACAATTTTGGCAACAGCAACTCATGAAGACTGAGCAGACTGATTTCATGCTGAAAATTGGTGTGCCTCCTCCAAGAGAAACGACAGCATTTCAACTTCATGCTCAGCCTGGCAACTCTCAAGGTTGTGGTCCAGGGACTTCATAGAAACTCTATCAAAGTAATTCAGCTTGAGCAATGTCAGCCTCGAGGAGGGTTCTTTCTCTGGGCTTAAGGCCTATCAAACTCGATCTGTTTAAAGGAGAATGCCACATTCGCCTTCACTGGGTGGTTGCACAGCATCTGGGGGCCTTCTTTCATAGCAACCTCTGCCTGCAAGATTCAAGGAGGAAAGGTCTTGATGGCTAGGCTACCAAGTATGACAAGCAATCCCAGGCACATACCCCAGTCAAGAAAAAGATTTGCACATCAGTGGAATGCTTGTATAGATTCTATGTCAGTACTCATTTGTACACATGACGAAGAGAGACTCTCTCTCTCTCTTAAATGCCCCTTCTCCTCCCCCTCACTTCAGTTTGCCTCAACTCGAAGTTTGGCTGCTTTGAGCACCACATTCACAAACTGTGCCAGGCAAAGAATTTGCCACGGTGGTTTCTCTAAACAGCCAGTCACACCAGACCCAGCAAAAAGGTGCTCAGATCGTTACCATTTTCTTGTCACAGCATTCAGCGATATATCTTCCGAGCAAAGCATTTTGCTGCTCAGGAAGCAGCTGATAAGACCCAGGTCGCTTGGAGCGACTGCAAGGGGGCCACCATTTTTACCGGGTAACGAGATTCTCACACGTCATGTCCGAGGAAGCATTGGGGCTGTCCCGGCAAGTCCACGTATGTACAGAATCTCGACCCTTGAGGTACAAACTTTTGATTGTCTCCCGAATGGCACTCATAGAGTCCCCAGGTGTTCACATCCTTGGCGCCACATGGACCAAACTACTGAAACATGACCTGACCTGGGACCTGGCCATATGATGTTGCAGACCCTTTCATGAAATTCGCTCGCAATGTCTGCAGGGTCCTGAGCGAATCTGAGGCGGAGGCCTCATCTGACCAAGTGTCCAGGCAAGCCATCGAGTCAGCCTGCTTCATTTGTTCATTTTCGTAGATGAAGAAGCCGCATTCACCCTGCAAAGCGCAGGATGGGGGACACCATTTTGAACTTGAGACCTGGTGACTTGCCGGTGACATGCCGATGATGCCGATGACCCGGAACTCGGAACCCAGCGATCCTGAGGGTCCACGAATTGCGCTTCGTTGTCGAGGCATTGTCCATCGGACCAGAAGAGCTTCCAGCACTTTCTACCTCATGCTAAGAAGCCATGGCCGGAGCAAGAGCGAACGTCCGTGTGAAGTCTGGCCACCATGCCCAGAAGCTATGCAAGAACCACATGAAAATACAGAATACAGCAAAAACATGCCAAAACAACAGCTTGCACAGAAAGTGCCAGTAAGATGGGTGAAATTGGCCCAGTGTGCCTTCAAACAACATCAAACAATGATAACCCATCAGACGACAACAGACATCTGGCAGTCTTCCGGTCTGCCGCGCCTCTCTCTTTACATCTGGCTGGCAGATTGACCTGCGGCGACGCCATCTCGGCATTCAGCCGGGCAAAGACCTGGTGCTTCACAGTCAGGCATCAAATCATCTGAACAGAGCTAATTCTTTACTAAACATATCTAAACATCATCTAAACATCTGAATAGAGGGATGCCATCAGCATCATAGAATCATCCTTAGAATCTTCCATGTAAATAATTTCACCATAGATTCACCTTACATGCACCTTGCCTCCGGATGCTCTCTTTGGGCTTTCCGGTAGAGCTCGGTCTCTAGCGGGACTTTGGCACCCCATTTGGAAAACCTGGCGTTACTCAAGAGGACGTTCATGAAGGTTTACGGGGCGCCTCATATTCAGACATCCAGTGCCATTCATATAGATCCTGCATGATCCTGCCTTGCTGCACTTCCTTTGTTTCGGAAAGATATGCAGGGAGCCTTGCATGTCAAAAGTTCACAAGTTCAACATTACAGCCATGTCAGGTCTCATAATGTGGTAAACCAAATTATAGCTTATAAATTATAAACCATTCCCCAATATCACCTAGGTGGTATACACACTGTACCAGCCATCCCCAAATGGCAGGTTGTGTATTGGGTTTACCACATTCTGTCTCGTTTGATCCATTCACTTCAGGCCTCTTTCAAGCCAGGCTGTTGCACGTTGCCATTGGATCCGATGCATGAGCTGCCCCGTTGCAGTTGGCCATCCTCAGAAAGTCCATGGCGCCATAACCGTCAGGCGTTTCCTTTGCCAATGGAAGCACTGGTTCCTACAAATGTCATGTTGCACCAAGAAGCTCTGGTCAACGACCATCCTTGGGCAGTATTTGCTCCGGACAGCTCACCTCACCGCAGTGAGCGGTCGTGAAAATGGATGAAAATTGGACCATATTGATCATATTGGGGCCCCCCTGATTTGGCAACCACCGATCCTACAAGGATCTAAAGGGAGTGTACCAGTATCTTTCTTTGACAGGCTCAAACCCAGACCACCTTCGAGTCGCACTTGCAAAGGGGCAAATGACGTAATGAGCTTGGGTGCTACAAGTACAACTAGGAAAGAGCAAGACTCTGACTTTGTATTCGATAATGAGTCGTGAGGGAATGACATGCAATCCAAGTCACAAATACTGGTCACGGCACGGCCACCACTCTGGCCGCCCTGCAGATCGGAAAGGCGGGAAATGTTCTTCCACAGATACAGTGAATTGATGCCAATTAGTGCTTTTTGCCACATGTCACAGTGTCACAGGACAGCCAAAGTCCAACACCTGCAAACATTGATCGGTGTTCCAGGCTCGGAGACCGCTGCAGCATTTCCTGGAGCTTGGACGCAAAAGGGTGCACAAGCTGCTTGACCGGAAGCTCCTATCCCTTCTGACAGTCTGAGCCCCAGACTTAGATCTCCTAAGCTGCCAAGTATTGCCACACTGTCAACACTGTCACAGTATGTCACAGTGTCCCTGTCTGCAACAGGCCACAGGTTATTCTGAATTGTCACTGCAGCCAGGCAGCCGGTTGCGGTTGCCCAAGTGCCAAAAGAAACGATGGTTGTCCGAGTCGCAGGGTGCCAGCCTCACACAACTTCCAACATGCAACAGAAATTGGAGCCTGCACTCATGAACATGGACGACAAAATGACGACAATGCATCCAGGAAGCTTAACTCCCTCAGATCCAGATCCGCTTGTACCAGCTGGACCCAAGAAGTGCAAGCACATCCCACTTTGTTCCTGATGGTGCAGTCCGAGAATTCGGAACCCTTGCTTCAGCAACACTGTCCAGAGACTGAAGTCATCCCAAACACTGGCCCCCTGGCCCCATGGCCCCCTGGCCCCCTACGTACCCATCAACAATTCCTCGCGAATCATGAAGATCTCGGCAGGGATGAGACCAGCATCTTCGTACACGGCTTTGAACCGCTTGAGGTACCAGGCAAATGGCCGACAGCCATTGAGTCTCTTCCGAACATTGTGAAAGGTACTCATGTCCTTTGCTTTAGGTTCCGCAAACAAAGAGCAAACAGAAAGCACAACGAGTTGGCACGGTGTGCACTATATTCCACATAATTCTCTTTGAAGCAATTCCAAGATCATGCAGATCCACATCCATTCATGCCAAGCATCGCCAATCCAATTTTCACCACCGTTCTTTTTCCGATTTGCAAAGGAAGGATAATCGTACAGCTTGTCACTAAACTCTTGGAGCCAGGCATGGATGGCTCGTGCTCGATTGAACATCGTGTCTCCGACGCGCTTGTAATGCGCGCTGGTCTTTGCGGAGTGAGTTCTCCACATGTGTGCAACTTGCGAACGAGGTGCTGCGACAATTTCCCCGCCGCAAACCCACATTCTCACGCCCTGATCGATGTTCTCACCACCCCAACCCAACATCTTGGAATCAAAGCCTCCACTCTCGTCCCACCAGTATCTGGACATTCCTGCTAAGCCACCAGACAACATGCCCATGTACATGTCATCAGTGCCTTAGTCATGATCATTAAGGATCAAAGCATGCTGCGCTGATCACTAGCTGCAAAGCGCTTCAGTTGCTTCTTAATTCAGCTATGGCACCACCCCACTTGAAGTCCCCATCCCAGGTCAGGTAGCACTTGGACATTCCTCCTCCACTTCCAACCTGTGTCCAGGTGTCGATATCCAGCCCTGTGATTTGAGGAATCACCATTCTGCGGTAATTTTCTCCAATCAGCGTGAGGAAGTCGACGTACCACTTGGGCTGGGGACCTTAGTTGCAGCAAGGCCGATGCTCTCAAAGACAAATGGTCTGGGAGACTGTGTCAAAAATTACCATGGCCAAATTCATAGCTGTCGTGGCAAATGATCTCTTGCAAAAGGCTTCAGCATTGAAGGAAGGATGAGAAAATCATAGACTAGAAAATCCATTGAAAAAATATATAAATGGACTATATTATGTACTATATTATATAAGTTTGTAAATAATCAGTACCATCATCAGCGACTAATATTCTTAAACGAGAGCTAGCTGAGCTTACTACATTTTCCATGGGCACAGCACAGCACAGTTCATGAAACGTCGACAGGTGACCCACGTGGCAATCAAAGAAGACGATGATGTCACCAGTTGCTGCATCTCCTCCAGTCTGCTTGGCTCCAATGAGGCCGACCGTCTGCTCGTGGCGTTTGATCACAACCTTGTATTTCTGCCTCACCTCTTCGTTCAGATGCGTTGTAGAAAGTGGTGGATTGCCTCACAAATTGCTGGTCGGCTGTCGGCTGGTCCAATCTGGTGCTTCTGATTGTGAGCCCAACTTCCCACCTTTCTGATCCTTTCTGACCATCAAAATAAACACACAAATGAAAAACTCGCAGGGTATAGATGCCAATACTATGACAAGGTGCTGCCATCATCAACCACCACAATTTCATGCAACACATCCGTAGGAGTCGACTCGTAGACAGACTTCACCGTTTTGAACTCAGGTCAGGACAGTTGGCAACAGTTGGAAGCTATCTAGCAACATGGGATGCAACCTATTGATGCTACACATACATCATGGTTGTTTCATGGTGTTTCCATCCACAAAAACCATCAATCAGCTGCGTGATCAGATTGTACTTTGGGTGCTGCAAAAATGTTCAGCAAAGATTCCGCCAGTTCACGCTCTTCTGCGCATGGAAGAACCTAGACACACTCATGCACGCAAACAAAGGCAAACAAAACAAAACAATATTTAAAAAAAACGCATGCCAGACAGGCATAAAGAAAAGTCTGGGCTGTCTCTTCTAGGTCCAGTCAAGTCAAGATATCGCAAGTCACAAAATGCACCTTGAGAAAGAGGCAATTGCCGTTGCGGATCAAGCAGCCACAGAAATTGTATGTGGAGACCACGCCAAATCTTCAGGCGTAGCATCTAGAACAAAATTGCCTTCCCCAACAAAGGCAAGGGAGGCTCGAGGTATACTTGGAGGTCCCCCAGCTGGCACAGCTGGCTCAGGTGGCTTTGGTAGACTCTCCGACTGCAGAAAGGCCTCGAACTGAAGCAAGCTCCGTCAACGTCATTTTTGTTGACAATTTTTTGGACTGTCACAATTGGATTTAGAGTTGTGAGGCTCCCATGACTCACAATTGAGAACATGTCAATGCAACCAGTCCTTGGAACCACGCATCGCAGGTGGATCTTCCAAACTGCCAGCTGGCTCAAAACGCCCATGTTGGGAAGTTTGCTCCACTGGTTCTGGCTTGATGCTCTCATGCAATAACAAAGACCAAATCCTCGGCCCATTCATGTCCGGCTCTAAGAAAAATCCACAGCCCTCAAGGTCCATTTTAGGGGTAAAACATGGTAAAACAAGTGGGCCCTTTAGTCTCCAGGAGTCCCCATGTCGACTTGCCATGGAGACGTGGAGACCCATAAAAGACTGCGCAGTCTTTGTACACATGGGAATTCATTTCCGTTGTATGCAGCCCTTTTCTCACCTCGCTCAACCTTGAATTTTGGGAAAACGATTTCAGAGTCGTCAGAGTGGTTGTGGCTCATTGAGCTGCAAAATTCTGGAAGGGGGGTTGGAATGAGGAAGCATCAGGACACAGTTTGCTTCCCAGGAGTGATCAAGTGGCTGGAGAATACACAGGATGGCCCATCTCAGGAAGAAGAATCGCCATGAAGACCGCCGCTTGGGGCCGGAGGTTAGCCAATGGTATAAATCGAAGATCGAAGCAGCACTGGAAAGAACAAGACCAAGCCTAGCAGTGACGGTGAGATCCAAAAACATGATCTGATCATATCTGATCTTTAAAACATCGCGTCATTGAGCTCATGCCACTGGGGATGTCACGTGTCTGGAGCTATCCCACCAACCAGGGCAGCCACTGGGACACACCACCTGGGTCTGACATGGTAGCACTTGCTATTGCTTGTTGTGTAAAGGCCTGGAAAAACATTTGGTGTAAACCCGTCAATCCACTGTACTTCGCTCCAAACAATTTCCTCCACATCTGGGTCTCTGGCAGTAGCAACACGCGCACCAGCAGCGCGGCCATCAAACGTAATTCGGGGATGTGTGCTTTGCAAAAGCCTTTGTAAAGCGTAGAGGCGTAGAGGGATTGATTAAATCATGCTGTCAAAGTGTCACAATCGATTCCATCGCTGGCTCCCTCTGTTTCATCGGTTTAGTTCGTGTGTCCCAGGCATCTTGGATCTGGATTGTCCTTCGTAAGAGCAATTTGGTAAATTATATATGCGAAATTCATGAGGCCATGTTTGTCATGTCTTGCCGCTTATTTGAGAATTCGTGTCGTCTTGCGTTTGGGATCTGGGTTTTCAGCTTGAAAGGCTTCAAAGTGAGACGGGGCAATGTCTATGGTATGAGTCCCTTGTGTCATGACCCTGGGCCTCATGTGATCTACCATGCAATGTAAGGTCCTAATAGCTACGGAAGCTAGCAGCAAGCGGAGTGAGAGGTACATCATCTGCATCACTGATTGCCACACACAATTAGGATCGATCATTTTTTCCATGCAAAGAAGTTCCAACATGTGTTGTTCACGCTTGTTCTAATCCAGTAAAACCGGAGAACTTGTGCACACAGGAAGCCAAGGCCTTGCACTGAGTAGTTAATGCAAAAGCAACAAGAAAAGTGGGAAGGCCTCTCCGGCTGGATGGGGAGACCTCTGGCATATCTCAGACAGCTGTGTGTGGGGACTGGTCAGAGCGCTCCGAAGTTGAAACCATTCAGATTCTTCATGCCATGTCACGCAACTGGACTGCAATGAACACTTTGAGAAGCTGGCGGTGACCTCGTGTGCAGTGCGGTCAAGAATGTAAGGCCACCCCTTGAGCCTCTCGTGGCCTGCGATGTCAAACCTGAAGTTTCGAAAAACAATTCGCTTGTGTGACACATAAGCCAAACATCATGGGAGAACTCAGCAGAAAGTCATGAGGCCCGGGCCAGGTTGAGTCAAAGTTGAATTCATCCTGACACCCAAGCCCTCTTACTGTGGTTGCGTTGCTCTTTACATGGTTGTGCTTCCACTATGGCCAGAGAATGCCCATCAGCCAATTGCCAACTTGTCGCGTTTTCTTGTCCTACCTGCCAGACTCCATCGAGCGTCCACGTGCAGGCGACTCCCACATCATCCTGGAGACAGCGACGGACTCTCAGATCTTTAAGTTTGAACCTTCTTCAACCTGCCGTGGCTACCTGTTTGCTACCTGTTTGCTACCTGTTTGCTACCTGTTTTCTACCTGTCTGTCTACTGTTTTTTTCTTTTGTAGACTAGAAAAGCGAGGAATGGAAACAATGTCAACAAAAGTCCTGTGTTTTAACTCAACATCTCTCAAAAACTGTAATCTGAACTCTTGCTGAATCCTCTGACGACTCCAAAACAATAAGATGCCATAAGTAGGGCCAGAGCCCACGTTTGTGCCCTGTAAGTCATGTAGAGGTCCAGCAAAATTTCAACACAGTCCCCACACACGGAGACACCAGCCAGCAGAACCCACAAATCAAATGGCCTCGTCGGAGTCTTTATCGCCGACACATCTGGCCAGGTAAGTTGATGAGAGCCTCAAAGCATTTCCCGAGGCGTTCTAGCAAAGGTTTTCCAGGAAGAGTTTCTCCATTCAGAACTCCACCACAGCTTGTGACGACCCCTCAAACCCCTCTTGGGAGCTAGCTCTTGTCCGAATGACCTGTGCATAGGGCATGGCCGTCTGACTGATGCCAAGGCACGACATGAAACGTGGAACAAACTCCTGCAGCTCTTCCCTTTGCAAAAGCGGAGTCGGCTATAGACCGTGCCTGCAAACCGTGGCGGTATCCGGGATCCCCTCTCGACCTGCAGGATAGTTGCGCAGCACGCCACAGCATATAATTACCGCATAAAAAATGAATCCTGATTCAATTAATTACTTTACTTCGTGTGATCCCCACCATGACATTTATACATTTTCTTACTGGCAAATCTTCTGGCATTCTATCTGACATATCTTCTGACATTCTATTTGGCATTCTATCTGGCATATCTTCTGGCATATGACCTGGCATATCTTCTGGCATATCTTCTGGCATTCAATCTGGCAAATCTTCTGGCATTCTATCTGGCATATCTTCTGGCATTCTATCTGGCAAATCTTCTGGCATTCTATCTGGCATATCTTATCTTCTGGCATATTATCTGGCATTCTATCTGGCATATCTTCTGGCATATATTCTGACATATCTTCTGGCATTCTATCTGGCATTCTATCTGGCATTCTATTTGGCATTCTATCTGGCATATCTTCTGGCATATCTTCTGACATTCTTTCTGACATTCTTTCTAACTTTCTTCTGCACATTCTTTGTCCCATATCTTCCTACATGAGGTCCGGCAGGGAACACTTGGCGTGGATACTCGCGGTTGAGGTCCGGCAGGGAACACTGGGCGTGGATGGTCGTGGTTGAGGTCCGGCAGGGAACACTTGGCGGGGATGGTCGTGGTTGAGGTCCGGCAGGGAACATTGGGCGTGGATGGTCGTGGTTGAGGTCCGGCAGGGAACACTGGGCGTGGATGGTCGTGGTTGAGGTCCGGCAGGGCACACTGACGTGGATGGTCGTGGTTGAGGTCCGGCAGGGCACACTGACATGGATCGCAGTGGAGCAGGAGGAGGACGAGGAGGACGAGGAGGAGGAGGAGGAGAAGGAGGACGAGAAGAGGGAGGAGAAGGAGGAGGACGAGGACGAGGAGGACGAGGAGGAAGCAACTGACATAAAATCTAACAACCCTCACCTGGCAGGTGGGGAAAAAATGATATACACTTCCAGCCCGGTTCTGCAACCATACATTTTCTCCCTTTCTGGCTCCTGGTCAGAAGTCAGATCATAGTTTCATGGTGACACCTTCTGCCGAAAATTGCTACGTCCTGCCTCCTTGAAGCCACTGGCTTTGTTCCAGCTGCCAGGACTGGCAGACGAAGAGAGGTGGGAAAAGTCCGTGAAAGTTGCACATCATGGAACGCTTGGATGGGGTATCTGCATCTACCCGCATAGAAAACTGGAGAGTTTTTGTAGACGATGCTGTCACACTCTCCAAGATCAAGCGGGCGGAAGGTCTTACGCTGAAACGCTGCTTAGATTCTGTTTAGGAAATAGCCTGAACATATTCAGAGCTGTGAACACAAATCACCCGGCGCAAAATCACCTGAAAGATGTCACTGACCGGATTTCAGCCTGCCATCAGCAACATGGGTCATTGAGATTGCATGCCAACTGGAGCAACTTTGAGCTGAGAAACATGGGTTTTGCTTACTGTATTCGTTGTGTGACATTTTGATAAGCCGGCTATCCATGGTTGAGCCCCTTTCAAAAGTGACAAATCAAGTGGATCAAGTGGATCAAGCGGATCGTGCAAAACTGCGAATCAAAAAGGCCTGGAGTTCGGCATCTTCACGACGGATTGGGAGTCCTCTAGACTCCTGCAATCCAGACAGGCACCGGATTCTAATCCATTCCGTATATTCTCGATTCTCTCATTTAAGGTTCTAGGTTCTAGGTTGTGTTCTAACAATGCATATACATATACTGAATCATGTGTATACGTAAAATGGTCGCAACACTAGAATCCGGTAGAATCCACAGACAAAGATTGCATCCAAGACCCGCGTCTCAAACGTCTCAACATGCCAGGCTCACAGCTCGTCTTCTCCAAACTTCACAATCGCCGTGTTTGCGCACCAAAGCCTAGCAGTCAGTCCATCAGTCTCAACATAGCTCTCAGCATAGGTCTTAGCATAGGTCTCAGCATGTGCATTTAGCCACATCCAAATCTTCCGTGGTCTTCGCATTATGTCAGACTTTTGCTGGACCTCGCGCCACTCCGCAGCTGTTTGCTGAAGAAGTACGTAGCGCTGCCTGACCTGACCAACTTTGCCGGTTTGACAAGCACATGACGACATCAAAGTGTTCAAAAGAGAGTCAGACTTTGATCACGGGAAAAATCAAACAGAAACATGAACAACGCTGCACAGAGAATCGTCAAAAGGATGATTCTCTACGCTTTTGCATCTGCTCTTGTATCCTTGTTTTTCATTTTTGTCATTGTTTTCCATTAAAGTTCCCCTGCGGCATGTTGTGTCCCTCCAGCTTCCTACATTGGCAAGTTGTCACCTTCTGTCAGAGGCGTAAACTCTCAAACCCCATCCCCAGTTTTCTTTCGACACTTTGCTTTGCCTTCCATTTTTGGCTTCACTTCTGGGTCTTATTTGAAACCTTCTGGACTTTCAGTCAAGCTTTTTATCCTTCTGACCCTTCTGGTTTTTCTATGTTTTTCTTCATGCCAAGATTTCCTGGTCTGTGGTCTTCTTGTTCCATTGAAAAAAGCGCGGCTAGGCTCGCTGGCCAAGCTTGCCATGACTGTGGCTCCGTGCGGCTTGCAACTCTGCCTCTCGCGCAGGGGCACCAGCCTGGAAGGCAAGCACTAGCACGTATAGCACGTGAAGTGACACAAAAGTACAGAGCCAAGAGATCCAGAAGTATCATGATCACCTCACCCTCACTACGTAGCTGACAAAACACTAAACAGCTCAGTTCCCATCCATTTGGGAACCCTTTTGGCCGCTCGCTACCAAAAGACTTGCTGTGCGAGCTGCACGAAAAGCTTTGTGAATGCCCGGATGGCAGAGAAACTATGTACACTAAACTAAACATTCGGAGATGCCACTAAAAGCAGCAGGAAGAAGGGACTCTGAGCTGAAGTAGTGGCCAACCACGCAACTCTGCTAGTGCCTGTGTTTTCTGGGTTCCCTCACCCTTCTTGATCTGAAGACTCTTGGTTGTCATCGCGTCTTGCCAACAGGATAACATGTCGTCCATCGCTGCCCTGAAATGTGCCTTGAAAAGGAAAGCCAAGCGCACGCAGCATGGCCAACATACGCTGACGCCTCACATGAGGCCGATCTTCCTCATCTTCCTCTGAGTCCGAAAAATCTGTCGTACTTTGGCTGGTTTGGCTGGTTTGGCTGGTTTGGCTGGTTTGGCTGGTTTGGCTGTCCTGGGTACTCTCCTGAGTATTTGAGGCATCATTGTGAGCATCGTTGCCATCATTGGACTCTTTCTTGTCTGCCTTGTTCTCTGTGCGCAGCTTGTAGTAGTCAGGGCGGGTTGGGAACTCCTGGCCGTCCAGGCTGAAATACAGCTCAGCACGGGCAGCTGTCGAGCTTTCGGGTTCCAACCACACTGACGAGATTCAACGTCCCCAAGCTGTCGTGGAAACGTGCTCTCTGGCCACACCCAGCCCAACCAATTCGTCAACCACGGATAGTGCTCTCCGCCTTGCAGTGCTTGTAGCAATTCCACGTGGTGCACCGGCACCGGCATGCGCATCCACATGGAATTTAAGTCTTGGATGTTGCTGTGCAAAAAGTGCAGCTGCATGGATCAGCTTTTTGGTCTCCTCAAGCAGACTCAATCCACCACCATATTCGAAGTACAAGTGGTTGCTGCTGTCTGACGCACACACGTCCATCACCTTCAATCCAACCGCAAGCTGCTCCAAATTGACACATCCTTTGGCCCATGGTATTCCATGATCACAGAAATCTTGAGCTCGGCGTTCCGCAAATCTGCGAGAGAAGATCAGCTGTCGTAGGTTGAGATCGGCAATTCCAAGCCTGAGTCTTGTTGGTGGAGGCAGGTATGCATCAAATGAAGTATGAATGCTGCTGCATCAAATAAAGTATTCATCATTCAAAGAGGCCAAGAAACCGGGCCAGAAGGGCTGGGTTGCAACAAGCTGCTCCCATAGCATCTGCAACATCTGGCAAAGCAAAGCACACTGCAGCAAGGCCTGCTCAGTTCCACACCAGGAGCATCAGCAAGAGGAATTGGGGGCAAGCCGCTAAAGCTATTGGATACTCTTGGTAGTAAAGAATTGTGGAGGAAAATAGAAACTGGCCTAACCAGCAGTCTACATCAAGGATGAGAAGATAGAGGAGTGCACATGCTCATTCGGGGATGCTTGGCACAGCTGACAATCACTGAAGTCCAATTCTAGAAAGCTTCAATGCTGACTCAACAGCTGAATCAAACAGTTCATAACAGTTCATTCCTCATGTTTCTCTAAGATCCTTCAAGTTTTGTTTCATGTTTGACCTCGGGCCTGAGGTGGAATCTCGACACCCAAACTTCTCTGTTTGATCGGGAGCCAACGAGGCTTCCTTTGAAGGGTATCCAGCGGAGCTCTGCACACCAGCCATTGGGAACTAAACAAAGGAGCACTTCGTGGTATTCTCAGCAGAACAACACAAGCTGCTGCTTGATGTGATTCAGTACATTCTCAACACATTCAATCACGTGCCATAATTCAAGATCCTATTGCAATCTGGCTTTGAGGGCGCAATGCCTGCGGGAGCACATCAAATTCAAGTCTGTTTTTCTGGCAATTTCTGGCAATATCAACACTATTCTATACTCTCAACATCTCTCAACTCAGCTTCCAATATCTTCCAATGAAATGGCAGTGTGTCAAAACCAATAGTACCCCTTCTGTTCACATCAAACTAGCTGGGATTTATGGATGTTCATCCGATTTCATCCCCCTAAAAATGGTATTTCTATAGGTATTGATCCATAGCCAAATGAATTGAACACCTCAGATTTCAACACCTCGGCAGCTCGAAGAGCTTCCAAGCGGACCGCAAGCTCCAAGGCCTCTCTGATCGCGTTGTTTGGTGCTGTCCGACGTGCTGTTCAATCAATGTTAACCTTTGTTATCTTTGTTGGTTTTCCATGGTTTTTCCGGAGTTATCCTATTTTTATTTAGTGAAATCCGTTAAATCCATTTAAATCCTAATTGTTGATTAATTTTTGTTGGCTAAATTCATCATGGCCGCAATCCACTCTTTGCTGTGCTCCGGAGTCATCGGAGTCTTGCCTCCTGGCGAGCTTCGCCATGTTTCTTGGCCAAGCGGGCGTTTTCTCTCTGCCTACAGGCGGCATGACTTCTATGGGGTGCGAATGGTTTTTCCTTCAACCAACCGGCCCTGCCTGAGGCAGATTTCTCGGACAGCATCCTGAAAGCTTCTGGGGCGTGCAGCATAGTGACATCATCATTCATCATGTAACTCTACTTCGACTGCCTGATGCTCCCGCACATAGACATCTGCCTGATATCGTGCGGGCCAAAGGCCAAAGAAAAGCATTACTGACAAGCTGCTCATTCTATCTGCCTTTGCCTGTAATACCTGTAATCTCTGTTCTTTTTGAGGAAACCCTCGTGACGTGAAACAAGGAGAGACCGGGGGCCTGCCATCGCGCCGCGCTCAACGACGATCTCAGCTGATCAATCTCCTGAGTTTTCCGTGGTAAACGTAAACCCAGAACTATTAGTCACCTCCAATCACATACCTGAAACGGGTCCTACAACTGTATACAGACACTGTTACACCATCCAAAATTGGAGGTTCTTGTTAGGTTTGCCTCAAGAATCTATGTATATTCCGCAGCTAATGGCAATGGCTTGCCCTCTGATCCCTCCTCCGTGCTGACCCTTCTCAGCTCGTCGATCTGCCCAGGAACAGCAGAGAAAAAATTCCAAAATTGCCTGACCTACAGGGAACCTGCACGTCAACTCCACTTATGAGATTCGGAACATGTTTGACTTCAGACTTATGCTCTCAATTGAAATCTTTCTCCAGCCTTCGCTAATATAGTGGCAATACGAAAACCCCTGTTTGGTCAACTATGACTATGATTTTGTAATAGAACTCTACTTGAACAGCTTCACGCATAGTGAAAGGAAAGCTTCGTCGAACGCTGCCTGTTCAGTCTTGGAGCGCTCGAGTTCAGCGATCTGGCAGGTCAGAAGCTCCGAAAGCAGACTGAGCATCCAATAAGTGAATGTCCATGAGCCTTCAAAACTGCAGGCTCTAAACCATTCTAAACCTTTCAGAAAATGGACCATGCCAAAGGGATCCAAAGGGTGCCAAATAGATGAGCCATTCAGATCCTGTCTGGCAACTTGAAACAGTAGTCTTTGGAAAGTGGCCACCTGTTCCAGACCAAAAAGAGGTTGTTCGACACGCGTGCCTTCACAGCATGTTCGCATCGTAACTCTTCCAGCTCCTCACAAGTACAACTAGAACTTCAAGACACTTTCACTGATTGCGCTGATTACACGAAGATTACACTGTTCTTCTCCTACTCTGGGACTCTTTCAACAACGAAGAAGTGAGATCTGATGCCAGTGAAGGCTGAGGAGTGGGCAAAGATGAGCAGTATTTGTGTTTTGTTGGGTTCGCTCAACTTTTATCTCCATGCCATCACTCAGTCTATCTCACTGATTTGCGAGTTCCACCATTGCCACTGTGCATCTTTGGCACTCTTCGTGGCTGCATCCATCACTTCCTGCTACAAAAGGCTGACTTGGTAGCAGACTTACAACTTCTCAGAAGCAAATGATTGATGTAGCAACGTCATGCAATGTCTGTGCAGCCTCTGTGTGTGTGTGCGCCGTATAAGGCATTATGGACACTTTTGAGACAAAAGGGTCGGCCTTGGGTTCCAGCAGAATGTGCTTCAAGCGCCGCAATGTCAGAGAAGTGCGCCGTGGTGCGCGGGGAATTTCTTCACCAGCCCTGACAATTTTCTCGCTGAGCGGATGATAGACTGAGTGCCTTCCACTCCCTCTCTTTGAGAGCATAGCGGTACTCTATGCTACATTGGACCACCAAAGTGTGTCCGGACATAGACAATCCATGTGACATTTGGTTTGATGTCCCATCCCACATCCCTCTTCCGTCCGCCTGGTGATGTCCACCTGTCAACACATCATAGAAACGGAAATGTGAATGAGTGCTGAAACAAGGAAAGTCATGAAAGTCTGACCATTGATGCCGGGTGAGGACTGTCCTTTTTCATCTTCGTCCCTGGCCTTCGCATGATCAATTCGATGAACGTAAAGTTCATAGGCTTCACCACTCATGACAAGAAGCGACCGAGGTTCAAGCAGCACCTGCGCAAGATTGACATTGCTTTGAAATAGATCTGCATGAAGCGCCAAAAAAAAAGTCACTGTTATCATGACTATCATACATTTCCATACATTTCCCACTTCCCAACAACGCAAGCTTTGTTCATCTTCTTACCCACCTCTAAGCGCTGCGGATGCAAAGGATAAGCCTGAACATATCCAACCCCAACAGTTTGAAGTGCTCAAAGCGTGTGGGCCGAGAAAAAGGGAAGAAATCGATGCCAATCGTGCCTTCTTTTCAACAAGCCCGAAATACATCAGCGCAGGCCCTTCTAAAGTGAGAATGGCCACTTCTGCCTTGAATCTGGGCCCATCACCTTATGTAGGGCACCCAAATCCCCACATCAAACAGCAGTGGGAACAGCAGTGGGAACAGGGGATCAATTCAGCTTTGCAACCGAAAAGAGCGGTAAGGGTTTCAAGGTTCTGTTTCCGTACTGGTTTTCGGGCTTGCAACCAAAGAAGCACCACTCCCAGCCCCAGAGATTCAAACCCAATGGGCACTGCTGTTGGGAATTTGGGGGATGGGGCCGGGGCTGTTGTTTTCAGTTCCTGTAGAATGCAACAGATCATTACATTACATCAAATCATATTGGTACAGGGACCCTTGGCACAACAAATCCTCCATCCTTTCAACAAGCTTTAGGACACTTTCACAGCAACACGAACTCACTGATAACATAGAGCCCCAAATGATCCCAAATGGATGCAACCTGTTGGCATCTACGCCACGTTGCTGTGGGCATCAATGCCCTGTCCAGGAAGGTAGCTGTTGATGAGGCACTGATTTGGCAAACCTCTGATAGGCACAGGCTGTTGCACAAGTACTTCAGCAACATGCAGCTCTTGCCTTCATGACATCGCATAGCCAACGAGTACTTTCGAAACAAATGAGCAAATGAGACACCAGCCTGATATTCCACCAGCTTGAGCCAGCGCATGCCCAATCTCATCGATTGCTGGAGGTAGGGCTTCGCAAATGGCACCATCAGGATGAGGCACACCTGCCGCACTCTCGTAAATCAGAGTGGATCGAGTGACACAGCTGTGCTCCTCTTGATTCTAGTGGATGCTAAATCGTGATGCAAGGGTAAAGCCTCCAAGGCAGAGCAGCCTGCGACTGGTGAGCTGCACCCAACGATCCTGACCGTCCAGGTTGCGGTAAAGAAACATGCGCGGACCCTTCAGAAGCAAACACTGGCGGAGGAATGACCTGCAGCGACTCCCCGTAGATGACAGACAGAAGTGCTCCCTGCCACCACAACAGACTGTGTGATTGAACACACCACTTGGTCTGCAAAGCAAATGCACCTCTGTTGCTGGAGGGATGTAATCCCGCACCAAAAACAGCGAAAGCTTTGGATGTACTCTGTGGAGCTCCCAAAGTGGTCTTAGGAATGCGCGTGTGGAAAACTCCTGATGGCTGTCAGATAGAGGGAAGTACCAGTCGCAACCCATCACATAAAGAGGACTTGCTTCGTTCATAAGTGGGGGTTGAAAGCAACCTGTCAGCTACAATTTCGGCAATCTGGTGTTTTTGGTACCTGCCATACCTTGCAGGTATTAGGTAAGGATTTGGTATCTATGCAAGCGGAACTGGCTGAATGTTTGAGGTCTTGCATATGTAACGTCCTGATATGACTTTCGCCAGAGGTTCTGTAGGTCAACGAAGTCTTCGTCATGCTTTGTCGGGGCCCAGGGCCTCAGATTGGGAAAAGAAACAACCAGAATTCTCCACTGAAAAATTCTGATTCAGAGATATTCAGAGAATTTGGGTTCCCAGACTTGCCCATGACATAGTGCAAAGCGATGCAATCGCTCAGATTGAGCTGTGTGGCGTGTTTCGGATTCCGCAATGCATGCTGGAGGGCCTCAATCTCTTGGACACACAGTTTGGGGCCTTTCTCGGTCATGTGGACTGTGCATCAATGCAGCTGTGGAACGTTGAAGACTGGTGGAAGTCTACAAAGCTTCTTTTCAAAGAAAATGTTCAAAAAGTCCTGTTCTGCGAAAGGCCTGGGCAGAAGCATCAAAAGACCAGTCCCACCATGGGTCAGATCTGCAAGAACTCGCAACTGTGCTTCAATGATTGACTTGACATTGCGAAGTTGATCCAACTTGGGTGAGTTAGGCTCTAAGTTAAGACGAGCCGCATGGAATCACTACCAGGTTGCTCAGAGCTCCTGAGATTCAGAGTAGAAGTCTACAATGAATTGAAAAGTTCAATTGACAATGGAAAGAGATACTTATTGCCTTATTGCTCCACGCATTCTAAGGGCCCAAATCTTCGATAACCAAACAAGTTCGAAGTTGATGCCGGAAAAGCTGAAGACTCAATCTTGAAATATGATGAAATATGTAGCTTAGATTAGCTTAGCCGCTTATATAGCAGTTTCATTTGTTATATTTGTTGCAACCAAGAATCTGAAGAGCTGGACTTGGAGTCTGGGCATCGTGTTGCAGCCACCCCATCATATTGGAGAAATCAGATGTGCTTGGCCGAAAGACCAACACACCAGCGTTGAAGTAGAAGCCAACATCATACGAATCTGCAAGCAGGCTGGTAGCACAAGATAGCACAAGTCTGCATCACCATCAATCGCCACGCCTGGAGCTGTGTAGTTGCACGTTTCACTTCTCCAACATTCGCAAGCTGGGACAGCAGCAAGCCTCAGCTGTTGCTGAGCAGCTCAAATGGCGCTCTCTCTCGAGATCCGCAGTCGACGGACCCAGTGCAGACAAGTTCTGCTGGACATGGTCTCCTTTATTGCCATCCCAGCATTCTTGAGATCGATATCAATTTGCCGACAGGACCAAGTCGCTCACATCCCAGCTGGAGGAGTCTTTTCCAAGATGGACAGGATGTTTCCCAGGATCAAGATGTCAGCATCCATGTAGACGATCACATCGTACTCCTGCGAAGCTCGGCTTTTCGAGTGATATGCTGCCATGAAAATGTTGCGTCTTTGTGTCATCGTCAAGCTACAAGGGATTAATGGGGTATGGTCATCCATCCCATAACGGGAGTCCTTATAATGTGAAAATCCCGTTCTGGGCACGGTATGTCATCCAACTATTGACGCGAGCCATGTGTGTCAAGTCGACGCCACATTCTCTATTCCCAAGCGCAGGTGGCGGGAGATAGAGAGAATAACAATCTAATTACACAATATATCACATCACAATCCAACTATTGACCATATCACAATATATCACATCTGTCTCCTCCAATGACCATAGGCCAAGCTTCTTCCAGCAGAAGTTGAAGTTTGGCCTTGGAACATCCAGGCCCAAAGCTGTGACTCCTGCTTAGTGATATAATCACTCAACCAACAAGATCAACAAGAATTCTGGATCAAAGAAAAAAAACTGGTACTAAGCTCCAAGCATGAGTGGCTCACCGACAAAAGCAGGTACTGGTACATCTGGCAGGCTTGACAACGCTCGCAACTCCACGCCTGTTGCGAGAGGGAGTGAAGCGAGATAACATCTGGCTGCAGCTGGCTGGATCACTGACCAGGAATCGCAAGTTCGGCCACTGATGTGATGGTGTGTTCAGCTTCCCTCAGAACTCTGAACAGGCCTGGAACCAGAGAAAGCTCTGTGTCGCTGAAGACAATAACATCGATCCAGTCTGGCAGTCCAGACCGTAGACCAGCCTTTCGCAGGCCAAAAAAAAAATAGATTGCCATCAAGGCTGTCGTGTGCTGTCACTATCTGTAGCTCCCATCCCACGGCCCCCAGGGCCCCACCGTCAGCACAAGAGCACCCTGGCTGTAGTCGTGTGTTGCCAGGGTCACAAAAGCAGCGCGCTGTGCATCCCCATGCCTGCACACGGCAAAGTTTGTTCCAGGAGCAGCTGGTGTTTGGTCTTTTCTTGCCCCTTCATAGCAAACAACAGGCAAAGCTCTGGTGAGTGAAGCTGCTTTACATGCATCAGTCTGCCAGCGCCTTGAAATTCCCTGCACGTCGCCTGTCAATACATGGAGTAAACACAAGCATAAATTGAGAGCGTTTTTTCATAAGCCAGTCACTTTCACAACCTAGAATCACTTCTCGGTGTGACACAAGTCATTGATTTTCCAACACACTAACCAAAGCGTCCAGCTCGGCGAATAAGCTTCCGTGCAAACAGGATTACAATGTCTTGGTATCTATAGAGTACTAAACGTTATATTTAATCATGCAAGATTCTTTCGGTATATCATATCTTTAAATGTGGTGATTAGTCTATGGCATCTATGGCATCTATGGTATCTATGGCATCTATGGCATATGTGGCATCTATGGCATCTTGCCTCTCCGAGCTGGAGAGCGTGAGCGATTGGCCATGTACAGCTGACATCAGCTGTTGGTGCTGTTGGTGCTGTTGCTGGAGAGAAGATATATCCCATTACTATAGTGGGATATACCATATATCCAATATTATCCAATCACAAGTCCAACTCGGTCTCTGCACACCCAAAGTCAGGATGAATCCAACAGAAGTAACAGAAGTGCACAAATGTGTCCAGTATGAGATCGAACAAGAATTCATTCCAAGACCTCTACAAAGCATGAAGTGGGGCTGGGACGACAAAAACGTGAAACCGTCGTGTTTATTTTTCACATGCTGGCTGAACCACATTTATACTGTCAATGTTTAGGTCAGCTGCATGTGGGTCTCTTGTTGATTTGTTGAACCAAGCGCCTTTGCGGGTGTGCAAAAAGCTATCCGTCTACAATCATCTTAAGGTCCTATCTACAGAAAAGGATGTCTAGGAGTGCACAGACTTGGTTCAGGTGCGATGGAAAAATGAAGGGAAATGTCATGGCCCTTCCGGATAAGCAAAAACAAGGACATGAGTGCCAGGGTTGGCCGTTATGCACAAATGCAAACCCACCGCCCTGACGAATGTCCTCGGTGTGCAAAGCCTTAAGAAGCGCAACCTCCACGCTTACCCAGAACAGAAAGGGTCTCACACACAAATAACTCAATGGCCAAGAATCAAAGGAAAAAACTGTATTTTGTGCGAAATCTTGCAAGTCACGAAAGCTGCAATGGGCTCCGAGTCTATTAGTCGCAAGATGAAGCGAGCAAGCATGAAACAATCAGGCGCCACATGCACTCGTTCGTCAATTGTGAATTGAGGTCTCTTCTCCATTCAACTGTCAAACCAATCTTTACATACTTCAAATGAACACCGTCGCACCCTTCTGACGGCTCATACGGATTCCTTTAGTTGGTCAATGTCTGATCCTTTTTCCTTTCCATATGCTGCAGAAGTCACTGCTTGGAAACGTGCAATTCTCAACCGGAACTGTGCTACTCAAAATAGACGTCAGGCTGTACAACGTCCTTTGAGACAAAATCCAACCGATTGAGAGCGGCCAGCTCTGCGTCCACTGCCTCAGGAGGAGGAGCCTGGCCAACAAAAGTCTGCTGCACAAAAACGGCTAATGCGTGTGCAATGGCTGCATTCATTGCAGCAGGGTAAATCTTGGCAATGGAAGTACGAAACTGCCCTGCTGCATCCCTGCCCTGCAGGGAAATGTGGGTGCCCTTCGGGTGAGGGCATCTGCCTACCCTACCTAGCGCTTGAATTTGACATCGCAGCCACGGAAGTCGTACAAGCATCAAGGTAGTGGGTTTCATTCCTGCACAATGGAAAATACATTGGTCAAACGTTACAAAAGTAACGCAATGCAGTCTTTTCATCCATCTCATTGCCATCGACGACCAAGTGCTAGCTGGACGAGATCGGCAAGCCCACACCGGAAAGGCCGGGTGTTCAAGGAATGAACAGCCGCCGGTGACGGCGCACCAAAAACACATCTCGATCATAAACTGCATAAGGGCTGTGCCCAAAAGCGTTTGTTGCCATTGCCGAGCACTATTGCAGGGCAAACCATTCAGTTCATCGTAACTGCGGAGGGGAGGCGGCCCGCCAGAGATCAGTCTGGCGGCCGAGTAGGACTCGCACGGTGGTCCCCCTCCCACTCCAAAAACAGCACCACTTTGAATCTGCTTGGTCCAAAAGATTCTGCTGTTCGACGTTGCCAGATCGCAGCAATCTCCTTGGAGACAAAAATCCACGCTAATGCAGAAAATGTGATAGTGACCCTGAATCATGTGATTTTCGATTTGGTGTTGTAAATCACCTTCGCGGCGGTATCCAGAGAAAAAATGGATGAAGCAAAGCGTCTTCAAATGTAATTGTGCATAAAGTCTCGAAAGGCCTGCCATTGAAAAGCATCCATGGTGTCCGTATTCTTCGCCTTTAACAGAATGCATAATGAAGCAAAGCTCAGAAGAGTCCGCAGAAGCGTCAGAAGAAGAATGAGGCAACATCTCCTGGGTGTCAATCTGCGTGCAAATGCCAGCTAAGCCTTCAAATCGGAGGCTGCCAGTAACCTCTTTGCGTTGCTTCCACTTCTGCATCATCTCGGCAGCTGCCGGGGAATGCGCAGGAGGTAGATGAGGTCCAAAGGCGCGGGTGGCTGGGATACATGCTTTGGTCGGCAACCAGCCAAGCTGCCGCATCTCCCGCGCAAGCTGACGGTCGCCCTCATTGAGTGCCTCCAACTCGTCATCCGCCAGCGCTGGAAATACTGCACGAATACGGCGAAGGCATTCTGTAGAATGACGAAGGTGGGCGCAAAGTCGGGCTCGGCAATGATATAGTCGGCCACAATTTGCGCACGTGCCATCTGTTGCATAATGCTTGACAATGGTTTGGTAGTCGTGCATCTGAACGGCGTGCATGGCCAAGGCTCGTTTGGATGAAAACGTTTGATCACAAAGTTCGCAAGTCCAACTGATTGAGGGGGCCTCAGGTTCAGCATCAAAAGGCTCAACCCCAAAGTGCCGAAAGGAGTGCTGGATCCACATCTGCCAGATCACGGTGTGCGCGTTGGCCTGATGGTAGGCTCTGCAGGCTCGTTCGGCCCGGCGTAAATGGCCCTTCCATCGTGAGTCAAGTTGAACAACTGTGACCCAATCAATCCAAGTAGAATCGGAGGTGAGGCCAAAATGGCGATGGCTAAATCGCGCCAGCCAGGCAAAGGATTCATGCAGAAGGCACATCCATGATCCTGCTTCATTTCGCACCTGTGCAAGAGCTCGCCAGTGCACTTCAGGGCACTGTAAAAGCATGCGCTTCAAATAGCGAAGCCGAGCAAGGTGAAGTTGGGCACGAGGGGGTAGAATTCCACAAAGGCCACACAAGGTTTCAACTGAGCACGAAAAAGGTGGCTGTCCACGCAATTCTGGTCGGGCAAGGGAATACAACATGGGTCGCAGACCTGCTTCCCAAGTAGAAATCCACTCATCAGTGAGCCAGCTCCAGGTATGAGCATTATACAAGAATCTACTCATAACCAGTGCGTTGAACACCTGGATCTTGGTACGCTGAGCAACTCCTTGTTTGTTGAGAAAGGGTCGACACAAGGGTCCCCAGGCTTTACGTGCAGCAGTGATACGGTCACGGATGGCATGCAACGGCTTCGCATCATTGTGAATCCACGTTCCCAAATGTTTGTAAGCCATGACGACGGGCACTGTCAGGAGAGTATCGGTGGCCTCATCGTGCACGGTCCACTTACCGCCACGAGCTGCAACCTTCTCTTTGAAATGCCTAGTGCGGGCTCCCCGCCATGCCATCAAGAGCTCAGTTTTGCCCGCTCCGTACGTAAGATCAAGGCCTCTCTTGCTGGCAGCGCAATGGATGGCAGAGAGGGAGCACTCGGCCAAAGTGATCAAATGGTCATTGTCTGGAGCAGCAAGCAAGATGGCAAGGTCATCAACGTATGCTACTTCCGCCCAAGAAGAAACAGGAAGATCATTGCTGATGGTGAAATCATCGACTGGAGTGAAATCCCCCATCCAACTGGCATCAGACTTGCGCATGTCCAGAGTCACATCGCGGAGGATAAGAGCCATGGTCAAATTGAAGGCAGCATCGCCAATGGGATCACCAGGACGAGTGCCCCTGGTTGTGACTGCTACCTCGGAAAGGCCGGAGATTTCGAAACATGTGGACTGTAACAAGTCCTTCAGCAAAGAAACGGCATGAGAAGCCAAATTCGGAATGGCAACATCGTACTGAGCAGTTGTCAAAAGGTCAGAAATGTGTTGAGGATGTACGCCAAGTCGATGCATTGCACAGACAAAGCCTGTCTCGTCCAACGGTTGGTCAAAAAGGCCCTGTCTGATCACACTGTAAAAAGCAGCTCTGAAATCCACAAACAACGCAGCTGAAGGGATTTTGCGAAGAGCCGCTTGTGCCAAATGCGACTGCACAATATGGTGGGCAGAATCACTGCCAACGCCTTTGCGTCCACCAAACTGGATGTGCGAAAGCACAGAAGTCCATGAGGTCACCAATTGCTGTCGTAAAATGGCATGATAAATCTTGGTGGTGTAATTGTTGAGAAAGATGGAGCGGTACCCCTTAGGGTCATCCCGAGGGAGCTTTCCCTTGTGGAGGGGAATGAGTCTTCCAGTCCGCCAGGCCGCTGGCTCACGAGCTTGCATGGCAATCTTGGAAGTCAAGATCGTCAAATGTTTGGCCAAGGGTTCACCTCCTGCTTTCAATACATCAGGTGGGATATTGTCCGGACCAGGGGCTTTGCCACGCTTGAGCTTGTGCAGCTGCTTTTGAACCTCTGCGAGAGTAGGCAGAACCTCGAGGTCAAAGTCACTGTGAGAAAGGCCCAAAGTGGGTGGCAAGCCACGCCGAAATTCTGACCTGGCGACAATGTAACCGGCCTCAACATCCGCAAACTGTTTGAGCCAGAGCTGTTGTTGCTGTGTAAAAGAAGTGACTGGACCACCTTCAGCTTGAAGGGCAGGAAGAGAACGAATGGGTTGTTTGTGCCCCTTCTTGGCGCCAAGTCGAGTCAAAGTGCGATAAACCGTACGGGCATCATGGAGATCACCTGCGGCCGCCATGTGTTGAACGAGGTCATCATAGAAGATCTGTTGATCAAGATGAACTTGTCGGCGAACGTCCTTCTCCAAGAGCTTCAATTGGGCTTTGAAGTCTTCAGTGTGCATGAGATCATTTTGACGTCCGTAATCAAGGCAAGATCGTTTGAGTGCGATCAAATTGCGTGTGGATTCACGGAGTCGAGGCCGTACTCGATCATGTTTGGTTTTGGTGAAGAACTGCTTGGCCAAGTCAAGGAGATTGGATTCAAATTGGTCAGCATGCGCATCCACATGAACTGGCCATGCTGGAATGGGTAGTGTCTCCAAAGCTTCTTGAAACTGCTGGCATTTGACAGGATCTAAGAAAGCGAGGGAATCCCAGTGCACTCGATCAGTGACAGGTTCAATGGCAATCCATCCACAAGCATGCAGGCAGACCGGAAGGTGATCTTCATGACTGAAGCCCCCATCATGTTTCTGAGCGACCCACGTCTGACTGGAGAGAGAATGTGCTGCGGCTGAAGTCAAAATATAATCACGACGAGACTTGGCTCCTCGCGGATGGGTCCATGTGTGATGAGCTCCTGTGTGGCACCGGGCCATGGTGGTAGGAGCGTACCACTGAAATTCGGTGAGAGCAGCTTCAAAAAGTTCGCCAGGGCCATTCATAGGTTCAGCACCATGGGTAGAGAACAACGTGGTCTCATGCGAAGCCAGTGGGGCGTTTGCATCAATAAAAATCCAAGTCAGGGGAGCAATGTCAGCCTTGCGCACTGCTGCCTGGGTTTCAGTCCACCACTTATGGATTTCTTCGAGATCACATTGAGAAGTTTTGCATGGTACGTGCAGGACAATGAAGGAAAGACGACATTGTCCATGTGTCAAATTGACAATCAGGCGCCTGGGATCTGCATGGGTAACAACCGCTTGGAAGTCAACAAATTTCAGCTGGAGATCAGGAACGAGGACCAAATTTTGATGGATCCACAATTCACAGCCAAAATGCTGCGCACGACTGCAACGTTGAGCTCCTGAAGCAAAGCACTTGTAATTGCCAGCAGTATACGTGCCAACTTCTCGGCGGGTCTCCTGAAGTCCTGCCACGTGAATGCCATCTTGATGCCATTGATGGGCTAAGCGGAGTGCGCGTTCAGAGCTGGAGGAAGTGGGCATGTCAGCATCAACAGAGCCAAGAGCAAGGACATTGGCAGTCATACAAAGAAAATCCAATTGTTTCCATTGCTCAGCTGAATGATACGGTTCAGGTAAGGGCACACGCAAAGTGCTCGGTTGAACTTGCCACACTCCATGGTGAGAGCCGGGTGGAAGACATTGATGCAAGGTAGTGGGCGCATCAAGAAGCCAGGCCCAGTTCAGATCTGGGGTCTTAATCAAATCTGAATACCCTGTCAGGTCCAAAACTCCAACTGCTTGTCCAACTTCCATACAATGTTTCGCAACACCATCTGCCAACTCATTCCAAGGATCTCCGCAATGCCCTCTGACTTCAAGAAAAGTGCCACGGCATTTTTTGAACCAACTTCCAAGCGTTTCACACAATTGGCAAAGAAGGGGATGTGCTGTGCAACCCCATTGATGGGTAGCCAGTTTGGCGCTGAGCTTCAAATCTGGTCGAATGACAATGTGGAGGTGTTGTTCCATCCCTAAGCACGCAGCCATGGCAGCACAAGCTGCAGTCACCTCTGCGGCAATGTTGTCAGGGCAATTGGCGCCAAGCCACTTGTCATGCGTGGTGTCAATCACGACTTGATCAGCAACGCACCCTTGAAGAGACGGCAAGCCATCTGAGTCAAAATAGACAAAAACAATGCTCCACGCGGCCTTGATGCCATCCGCCGCGCCGTCAACGTACAAAGCTATGCAGTCACGCAGAGAAACTTCTTGAAATTCTGCTGGGGACGCAAGAGCAAAGTAAGTGGTAGGGTGCAACTTGAGGCCCTCGGGTATGAAGGTCGGAGAGGGCAATACTCTGGCAAAGAAGGATGGCCAATTTGGGACCTGCATGTAAGCCACTTCAGGAAAGGAATACTGTTCTTCCTTGTACACGAAGTTGTCGGCCAAGCAAGCAGTCAGGTTCAACGTAACCCTTGGCTGAAAAGCTTCTGCGGGTTCAGTCAGAGGTACTGCAGACTCAGCAGCAGCCGTCTCGAGAGGAGGATGTGCTTCAGGGTGAGGTGCCTTGGTGCGGCGAACCTTGATCTGAACCAAGTTGAGTGCCTCGTCAGTCGATGATGTAGAAGGTTGAACAAACCGTTGACTACCCAAGACATCCACGACAAGGGAGCTTCCAGATTGGATCTGCTGTGTGGCATGTGGAGCAAAGTACTCTTGTCCAAATCCTACTCTGCGAGGGAATCGCCGAAGAGGCCCGGGAAGCGCCAAAATGTCGACGACCATTTCTGCCGAGACATGGGCGGGCAAAAATGTAGCAACATGGTGCAAGGCTTGGCCTTCATCATCACGCACACGCGTGGTGAGCAACGCGGCAACTTGGTCCACTGGGAGTCCCTGCGCAATCAACATATGGCCAAGGGTGTGCTGCGTCAATGAGGAAGGAGGCATAGGTGCAACCCAAAAGAATTGAACGGGAAGTGTGCTATCAAAGTGATCTCCCCAGCGTTCAATCAATGTCCGATGCCACATCCAAGATTGGTCTCTGAGACGCACCACTCTGTTTTGCACGCAGCTAGGCCGAAGGGCAACGTGAAGAAACCAAGTGGTAAGATATGCAACGGGCCCTTCATCTTCTCGTTCCACTGCAGCTCCGTCAGGAAAGGCTCGCGACATTTCCACCAACCAAGTAGGTGCTGTGTCCTCTGCGCCCAAAAATGGCGGAGAAGCCGAATTTTGAGCCAGTTGTGCCTGGCGTTGTGCCAGATTGGTGACCACAGGCCTTGGAGGTGGTGGCCCTTGAGCGCGATTCAACACAAGCCTGAATGCATGACCATGGCGTGCATAGGCACGCTCATTGGGAGCAAACTGCCGAGCCCCGAACCAGAGCGAACATTCATTGCGGGGCGCCTCGGGGGGACACTCCTCAGTCAGTTCCGCCATAATCATCACCGACATGAGGTCGATGCGGTCACCCATCACCATCGCCAATGAATGTGCAAGGCCGCGGTCGTACTCGCTATCATAAATGGACAGCACAATGGAACGTTGGAACCGCTGGGGGCGTTGCACCACAATGAGTTGGCCAATAATCTGACCGGATGCATCCTCCGGCAACGGATACACAATGTGAAACTCAACTGCAGCTCCGGGGAGGATGTGTTGCCGCCAGAGGTGCTTTATTTGGTCTTCCCATCGATGAGCATCCGGACCAAGAATAGCGATGCGGGTGTGGTGGCATCTCTGGTAACTCAGATGGTCAGTGAACCAGGTCTCTAAACGACCAAGGCGTTCGACCGCTCCCGGGCCGATAGTGGCCAAGCGATCCCAATGCTCATGCAACTCTCGTGTCCAGGGAGCCAAAGTTTCCAAATCAAAAGCATCTTCTTGAAATTCTGGCAAGTTTTCTGCGGCGGTGCTCATGGCATTGACGGCTCTGAGGAACTCCTCCGTAAAGCTAAGCTCGGAGTGTGGTACAGGACATATGCGATCAGATGATTGAATATCCTCCAACTGGGGTGGTAGGCACAATGGTTGCCGACAGATGGCACCCAAGGTTTCAACCGTATTCAAATCAACTGAAATCTGCAACAGCGCAATGTCTGCAGGGTCTTGGATTCCAAGTTGTGCACGAAGTTCTGAAGGATCAAGCAGGCTGGGCGAGTATCCAGAACTTTCGGACCAACTGGGGGAATTGCCAAAGGTGAGCTCGTTATGCTGTTGTCGCCGGGCCAGAAGCGGCTGTGTGGGCTCATCACAATACAGTGATGGAGGAACCACGAGCTTGAGGTAATCACCATGTGTGGGTCGTAGTAAAGGATGATGCTGTGAAAGAACTGGTTGATGATTATGAAAAAGGAGACATCGATCATCTTCAAGATGACAGTAGACATCAACTCCAGCACGTACAAAGATGGCTTGCATTGAGGCAGGAATTGGGGTGACCATCACTCTCCGATCAACAACCGGGGCAGTCTGATAGTGAGCCTCCAATGTATTTCCGTGCATCTCATAGTCAACCAAGCAAAGACGGCTAGGTTCTCCTGGTTCCATGTCTGCTTCCAGATGGACGATCAAAGGGGTAACATCGTCAGGAAGGTCAGGAAGCTGGACATTGATCTCATAAAGTGCAACAATGTCGTCGACTTCCACATTCATGAGTCTTGCAGCATCTGCCATCATGCAATCATAGTCTGTCCAGTCAATGCGGCCAAAAACGACTGGATCGTCCAGATGATGCAAATAGACAGCTCGCATGGTATGAGATGACGAAGAGGACTCTGCTGCTTGCGACCCAATGTCAACCTCATCAATGAGCGCATCGCGGTCCTCAACTGCTGCAACGGGTATGTGAGCGCCTCCAGCAGCGGTCTGAGCAGGATTACTGGGAACTCGAATCCAAGCTGGAGGAGGCAATTCATGACGAACTTGAGAAATTTGCATAAGTGAAAGCGGAACATCCGGAACACTGCAGGAAACGGTCCTGCTGAGGGATTGAGACAGCTGGCGTGAAGAATTCAACGACCATGGCTTGCTAGTCCAAGCCTCAAAGGCTGTCTGATGCATAGTGAAACTGGTCATAGGGGAGGTCAAGTCATCAAGAATGCAAAGCTCGATCAAATCAGAAAAAGAAGTTCGGTGATGCCTGCGCTTCGGCTTGGTCATACAAAAAACCTCAGTTCTGAAGGCGGTGCCAAAACCCACATCCACCGCCAGATCCTCCGCATCTTGAAGTGCTTGCCATGGAGAAAGAAAATCCACTTTGTCACATGCCGAGTGCATCCATGCCCTTGAATCCACAGACACGATGCCTCTTTCCTCCTGCCCTAGGTGTGTGTACAATGAAGTCACATCGCACCGGGCGTGCCAAAAGGCTGCATAGAAGGCAGCGATGACACAGGAGTTGGTGGAAGGCCTTCTCCCCCTGACTCTTCGCCTGATTTGCGCAAACGTTTGGCTTTGCGCTCTTCTGCCTCGGCGTGGTCCGTCAACTCTTGTAGGGAGTGAACAACCTGTGTCAAGCCCGCTGCGATCTTCTGCGTTGCTTCTGAACGCATCTCTTCGTCCTTGACCTGCTTCAACTCGGGATTGTTGTCCTCCTCGTCGGAGATCGGAATAGGAGCGTCCCGCACCGCTTCTGAGGTTTTGCCAAAGCGGCGCTGAGCACGGGCAAGCTTGGTCTTGGCCGAGGAAATCTGCTCCTGGATCGCTGTCTCCTGAGTCTGAAAGAGCCCAGCATACTCCTTCCATCGAGAAACGCTGTACTGCAAGAAGGTTCGCCAGGATGTCACGAGCCGTAGACGAGCAGCTTCGGCTTCTGCCACCTCTGTCTTTGCTCGTCCAATCTCGTCCACACTGGCATGGACTTGGCCCAAATTGAGCTGGAGATTGGAGTGATCCATTTTTTGGACTGCTTGTTGAACTTCTGGTGTCCAAGTGTCCTCTGATTGACGCAAAGCGCCAAGGATGTTCTGCAAATGAACCTCCGCAGGTGACATCGTGGGCTTGGGTCCAACTGGTTGCACAGAATTGAGCACAGGCATCTGCTGCATCTGTTGCATCCAAAACTGATCCGGAGCAGTCATAGGCCCTTGGGGCAATGGTGGTGGCGGAGGGGGTGCCATATTCTGCTGCGAAGGCCCAGGCATTGACTGAGGTATCGCAGGATGCGGATAAGGTCCATGGCCATGCGGAGCTACCCAATTTCCCGGTGGGAAATAATGAGCATTGGCATCGTAATGACCCTGTTTCTGTGCACCTTGTTGATGGGCTCCTCCATTTCGTTTGCCTCTCCTGGACTTTCGTCTTGGGGTATGGCGACCTTGTCCATGGCCATAAGCACCAGGATGCCAGTCCGGGGTGTTCGACTCCGGAGGCGCTGCATGGGCACTGCCCGGCTGGTACGTATAGTCCATGACCTCTTGCCACGTCTTGCCACACCATGCACACCTTGGCATCGAAGACTTTGCAATCTTGAAGCAAACTCGACACCGCCAAGGTTGTTTTGCCAAAGCCATTGCAGCTGTGAGCCTGGCAATGAATTGGTGGTCTCGGCTGTGGTGGGCAGAAAGCACTTGACGAATCCTGGCCAGGGCCGTAAATCCCAAGGAAAGAGCTCCTGTGCGATGTAGAAACCACTGCCGCCTCGCAGCGGCTCTGGCTCTCCGGAGAGCACGCTTCCTGGTCAACGTCACCGTGTCTGGCAAATCCGACAAAGAGGCCAGTGAGATCCCTCTTGGAGGCAATGATCGATGCAAAGAGCAAGAAGATCCACCACCACCGACACATACACAAAGACGATGGGGTAGAACTTCGCCGGCTGCAGTGCTCGCAAGGCCAGGCTGCAAAAACACAGCGAGGCCCGCGGGTGCGCACAAACCCGCTTAGGCTATTGGGACCAGCCGTAACAACTCAGTCGAGGGGCGGCTTGGTCCAAAACCTTCAATGTCTGATCAAACAAATAAGTGCAAGCGATCAAAAGAGCCATCAGTGGTCTAAAGTCTCTAAAGGCTAGTATTAGATTCTTATTAGATAGTATTAGTATGTATTAGCCACTTCTTTTCAGGTGTCCCCATGTCCCCATGTTGCCGTGTGCCATGTGGCAACTCTCGCACCGCAGCTGCACCGAAAAGCCCTGAAGCTGCACCTCTTCGGTGTGTGAGGCTTCCAGCTGCGCTATCGCTCCAGCGCATTCGGCCTGCAGAGGAACAGGCAGCCAAAGCCACAAAGGGTGAAGCCCGGTGAAGCTGTGAAGCGAATAACCAGGATATTAACCAGGATATACTGCAACCATCTGTAGCGTGAGAAGGAAAAAAATATTGCAGGTATATAATAAAAGCTCCTTCATTCAGCAGCTCCAACTGAACATGAGTCCAGGGTTCTCCAATGTATAGAGACACATTCGAAAGAGTGTTGCAATTTGCAAGCGGAGGCCTCGTCATCCTCAAGCTCAGCAAGCTTCGGTAGCCCTGACATCAGTTTTCGATAGTTTGAGGGCATGAACGGGGAAGCAGAAAAGTGCCAGGCTGAAAAAGGACCCTGTCCCTGACGTCCCTCCGAGGCCTTCTTTCAGCTCCTCTTTGCAATCAGCCACTTCCTGCTTCAACCGCACCAAGTCTTCACTGCAGACCTGGAGTCAGCCAATTCAACTGATCGTTGCTTCCCTTCTTGATACATATCAAAACATATTAAAGCAAATATGATGTTAGCTAACTTCCGGACACAAAAATCATGAAACACCTTTCAGATTCTTTGATTCCCACCTGAATCTGTGTGCGCAACACCTCCGCCTCCATAAAACGTGCCATCACAGGCGCAGCTTCTTCACGAAGCTGCTTCACTTTGGCCTCCAAACGTTGCAGCTGGGAGAAGGGGCACCGGCGAAACAGTCGATATTAAACTTTGACCATGTCGATAAAATAGATTATATGCAATGATGCATGCCATATCATGCCACATCATGCCACTATATTTAATGGAATTGCAAAATGTTCAAACATCCATACCGCAGGTGTAGCCTCCATTTCAGCACGTTCCTGTTCAGCCTCAACGAAAAAGTGTCCAAAGGAGGTCATTGGAAGAATCACAATGCTCATTGTGCTACACAACTGTCTGGACAGTGTTAAAAGATCAACCTCTGGTCATTTTGCACTGAAGCCTTACGGCGTTTTGGCAGGTCTTGGCCCCTCGCGATGTCGCGATCCCTTTCTGCTCGGGCAACTTTTCGTTCAAGAAGCACTCGCTTCTCCTCCAGCGCGGAATTAATTCCTTCTGATCTTTTCCGGTCGCATGGAAAACCGTTTCACGATCATCAAATCTTCCCACCTTCTGCAATGAGCTCCAATTGATATGTGGTTTACTTTCTATATCTTTACAACTCTTTTTGTGATACCTAAAGATTGGAATCCATTTGGATCGCCTTGGCCACAATGTGCCTGACAGACCACGGAAAAAGAAGTCCAAACTATGCCAAAGTCCTAAACTAGTGCAACTCTGGGCATCAAGGAGACTCTTTGGCATGGCAGGTTCTGCTAAGTATGCGTCTAATCTCGCACATTGCCAAGGGGAAAAGGACTATATACGGCATGCACAACAAAAGGAAGCTGTATCATCCTGTATCTCTCTCTCTCTCTCCCTCCCTTTCCGGTGGACGCAAGTTCTCCTCCAAACTGTCAGCTTTTTCCTCCGGATTTGGTCAAAGTCAGTCGAAGAGCCAAATATTCACTCACAGCACTTGCAGGTACAATTTCAACTCAAGGAGCCGTCATCAAATACTTGGAGTATCTTGGTGTATCTTGGTGTCCTGTAGGTCAGCAACAAGCGGTTCGCTTTCTTGAAGCTGCGCTTGAAGTGACTCGACAATTTCACGGACCTCCGCTGAAAAAGAAGCGCATCCGTAACGACGGCTGTGGAATATCCTGAAGCAAATCACCAGGCCTGTCCGAAGACCAATTGTTTCGCCTCCTCTGTCACTGCAAGCTCGGAGTCTGTACCTCACTAGATCCAAGGCAGAATGAGCTTTCAATAGCAAACATTAGCAAACCTTGTCACTAGAGGCAATGTTTTTAAGATTTTCTAAGATCTCTTGAGTATTCAAGTATTCCTGCCAATTCTATCCACTTCTAATCATTTTTGCAAGTGGGAGCCGCGCCTTGAACGAACTCCTCTAACTGCCGCAACTTCTCTGGGCCTCAGTGTGAATTTGGCGTCCAAAATCAATTTCTTCAAAGCTTCAAAGAGCACAAGTGGGCACACTGCGGCGCACTTTTACCGTATATACCAGGCAACAATGTCGATCACTTACGACAACTTTCGACTGAACTGAATCCACGACAACCTTTCTGACAAGGCCTCCGATCCTGCTCTCAATGGGTACCCAAGCCCAAAATGTGAGCAAGCGATAGGTGTAGGCCAGAAAGCCGACCATCTGTGCTCCCATCACCTTTCGCAGAAATGGCAAATCTGAGACAGCGGAAGGCAATTTCAGAAATCGGTCATGTTGGATAAACCATCCCATTATGCCATTAAACATTCTTCCCCAGCAATTTGTTTGGGCGGAGACCCCATACCCACTAATCAACATCCAACCTTGATAGATGATAGATGATAGATGACAGATTGCATTCCATTGATGACAGCCGATAAATTCCAAGAACACAAACCATATATCCGGCCTACACTCTGCATGCTTTGCATGCAGCCAGGGCATTAGGACACTTGGTGTGAGGATAGCATGATGGCATCGACGGGTGCATGTCATCAGCTTCAGAATATACTTTTGACTTTGACCTCAAGCTGGTAGATGACTGCTCCATACAAAAAGGGAGTGCTTTCAATGGTAGGATGCTGAAATGCGTGGTCTATTGGGGTCATCTGCGCTGCAGTTTCCTGTCGAAGAAGTCTGTTCCTACCTATGTTGGACCAAATATGTACATTGTTGAAACTATGCAAGCCCACCTCTTGATTCTCTTGTATATCTTGTATGCTGTTATTGAAATCGTTGCTGCCAATCAAAAGAGGTCCCTTGGCGAAGCCTGTTTCTCTTGTGCACGTGGCAAGACTTCGATGCTTGGGCCGCAAATTAAAAGCTGCAAGTGCAAAGGACTTGAGACCACATGCAAAAGGGGATTCTGCAGATTCCTAAAACGTCAGCATATGGTTGCAAGCCAACTGCTCAGTTTCCCAAAACCCTACACCGGACAAAAAGGAAAAACTGAAATTGGCACTGTCTAATCAAGTACAAGCAGAGCGTTGTAGGCTACAAATACTGCAAGCTACTGTGTTTTAATGCGTTGTCTCATTTTGAGCCGCAGCTGTTCAAACAGGAGCATCCATGGCTGCGTACAGCCTCAGAACTTCAACCTGAGTGCCGCAATTGCCAAGAAACCAAAATGTGCCCAGAATTTCCTGCGTGTTTGCTGGATCTTCGTGATCTTTCTTGTCTTTGTGCGTCTCCTTCAACCCGTGTACAAGACTAATGCTCACGCACCATGAAACAAAAGCTATTTCAGAGGAGTCACATGATCCGAAGGAAAGGCAGGTCATAAGATACCACACACAGTAGCACTTCGCTGGTCCAGTAGCAGGACAAGGAGTTGGCGACACAGACCACACTGATACTGAGTCAATGCGATCATGTCATTTGAATGTGAAGAGTATGCATAGTCTGTGACAGTGACGTAGACAAAGGTCCTTTTAGGTAAAGTGTCTGCTGCAAGTTGGACTGAGCTGGGAACACAAGTCAGGAATAGCTCCATCTCTTTCACATCCTTCACGGAGCAAGGTCATTGGCTTTGTGAGTCTTTTAGTGTTTCCAATAAGGCTTCTGTGACGGTCCTTAAGCACCACAGTCACAGATTGGGGAACACGGCCAGCACTAGTTGTGTCTCCTTCCAGAGCTCTTTGCATCATTCAAGACTCCGGAACATGGAAACCAAAAAAATCAAACGACCCCACCTCCTGAGCTCAAAAGAAGGCTCCGCTTCAGATCCTTGACATTGGATTTGCCAAGGAAGTCCTGCGTTTTGTCAACAAGAGGAACAAGCGCTTAAATCACGGATGATCAGGGTCTCACAGTTGAAAGAGCCTCTCGAAACCTTGAGTGACTTGCGCAATGAGAAGAAGAGAAGGGACAAAAGAAACATCAGATTGATTTTGATGTTCAAAGACTAGAGATAGCTGATTGGTAAGCTCTGCCGCTCCGCTGAAAGCACCCAGCGTCCTCTTGCTCGTAGACTGGAAGGTGCTGGATCGAGATCAAACGAGAGATCCACGAAAGCTGTACCTCCACAATGCTCAGTTCCACGACATCCACTTGTTGCGATGCCTACATGCGAGCCCCTAAAGTTAAACCCTCAACAAACAGACCTTCAATAACCTGAGGCGCACGGCTGCCAATGTGGCTCCACTCGAGCGGCCGGTAAATTTTAGCCAGCTCACTGAGTGGTCAAGTTTGTAAACTGCCTGCCATCCAGTCCCCAGACCGCACCAGGTTTGAAATCAACTTCACAAGGATTGGACATCGTTTCATTGTCGGGATGTCGGTAGTTGGCCTCCACTTTGGTTAGCGTTCTTCTTTCTATGATCGTACCTCGCAAAGTGAATCTGATGCAAGGGTTTCTCTACGTGCATTCCTCTCTGCAGGGTACACTCAACCCCTCTCAATGCATCAGCTGTAAAGTTGTGAACCTCAGGGCAGGAGAGAAAGAATTGCAGTTTCCTTGGCTGCCCACACAGTAGACAGGAGAAGCATTGCTAGGCCCATTGCAAGCTCCCGCAGTTTGTCCTTCTTCATCCTGCAAGCTCAAACAGCTTTGTGATATCTGTTGTGCATCCAGGGGTCCAGTATTCCAAATGTATGCTCTCAAGACCCGGAATCGCAAAGGCTCTTGGTAGCTAGAAAAGTCACATGCACCTCTCATCATCGGAGCCGGAAGAAAAAGAAGCCGTTCGAGCCTTTATAAATTGTTGGAAGGTCGATCACTGCCAATGATAACGAGTTCACGGTTCATGATGAGTTCTATCGAAGAATGTGTTTCAGCAAAAAAAATCCTCGAGAGCCACCTCTGTCGGTGGAGCTGAAGATCCCCACGCCTGGCGTTCCATTGATGCAAAGAGTCTCAGCAACTTCAAGGTAGAGTACATGCCAAAAGATCAAAAAAAGGTCCAAAGAAGATCAGAGCTGGAACCTGGAAGGTGGAAAATGTGTAATTTCTTGTAGCTTTAACCTTTTCAGCCCTACCTGAGGGGCGCAGGTGCTGGAACTGCAAGAGTTGCAGGGCCTGGGGATCCAAAAGTGCTTCCAGAGGTGACATTTGTTATGGCGGGGGGGCGTATATTGCAGGTGCCAATTAAAATATGTGTTTCTTGCAATTAGCTGTACCTCTTTCACCCTTGGACCCGAAATCTTGACATGATGACAAACAGGCAACTTAGAACCGCAGCAGCAAGGCATCCAAACACCAGTGCCCTGCCCCTGGACAACAGCCCGAAAGGATGTGCATGCATGCGGTCGATGGATTCTAGAGGAAGTTCCCACTTGACTCTCCACCAGGGCCAGGCTACATGCCACCATTGACGTATCATGATGTATCTACTTCAACTGCATGTCTCACCCTGCTAAGACCTTGTATGAACCTTAAGCGCAGGGCGTTGTTGGGTGCCGACAAACCATGCACGAAGCGAAGAACATTGCAGCTGCCAAACAGAAGAATACTGATGAATATGTCCGCGGATTCAAAAGAAATTTTGCAGTTGGTTTCAATGTCCAATCAAGACTTCTCCAAGTTTTGGCAGATCCTTGTTGGCCGCTCCCAACTCTGCAGACAACTCACATGTCTTTCAATGATACTTGTATGGCACAAAAACGACTGCAATCGAAAAAGTCTGACGCTGCAGGTATGTTCTTCTGGAACCAATTACGGCAGAGCGGAAACAAAGATCTTGATGGCTACTCCATCTGCACATACAGGGTACAGGCCGCATTGAGACACAGAGAACAAAGTCAGGCATCATAGAATTTTCTACAAGTAGCAAGAAGTCTAGACAATTCGCTCCAAATGTGTCCTTTTCTTCTGCCAAACCAGAAAATGCATCAAAAGCTGCTGCAGTTCCTGCATTTCCCGCCCTCATGCATCATCCTGGCAGTGATGCAGGTCGAAAGCGTTTCAATGGTGGAGATACCGCAGGTGCCCAGCTTCTGAGCAGCCCACCATGCAGTCTAGTTATTTGTCAACACTCCTGCACTACGGGTAATCAGCCAGTGAATCTTTATGACATGTTTTTTCATGTGTGGGGACAAAAATAACTCAAAATAGTGCAAGTGCAAAATAGATACGTATAATATATATGTATTAATATATTATTATACTATTATATTATTATATTATTATATCATTATATTAATATATCCTTATATTATTATATTACTATATTACTATATTATTCTATTATTATATTATTATATTATCATATCGTTATATTATTATATCATTATATTGCCATATTATTTAATTATTAAATTATTAAATTATTATATTATTATATTATTATATTATTATATTATTATATTATATTATTATATTATTATATTATTTTATTATTTTATTATCATATTATTGTATTATTATATTACTATATTATTATATTATTATATTATTATATTGTTATATTGTTACAAAATATATAATATTCTATATTAAATATATTTATACTATATATTATATATATTATATTATATATAATATATTATATATAATATATATTAGATATATTATATATAATATATATTAGATATATTATATATAATATATATTAGATATATTATATATATATAAACATGTATATAAATTAAGATATTATATATAGTATATTATACATATTGTATATATTGTATATTATATATATTATATTTAATGTACTATATATAATATATATTATATACTATATATAATATATATTATATACTATATTTAATATATATATATTATATCTAATATATAATATTTATATATTATATATATTATATATATTATATATATTATATATATTATATATATTATATATATTATATATATTATATATATTATATATATTATATATTATATATATTATATATATTATATATTTTATATTATATATATTATTCACATTATATTATATATATATATATTATTTACATTATATTATATAATATATATATATTATATATATATAGGTTATATATATTATGTACATTATATTATATATACTATATTTTTTTATATATTATATATATATATTATATATATATTATATCATATATACTAATATATTATATATATATAATATTGAGTAAGTATCACATCAACGACCATACCATTGCGGAATTGAAACGCCTTGATGCAAATTGCATGCATCTCCAGCGGGTGACGCTCTAGCAGGTTGCCCATGGGCTGCCTTCAAGCGGTCTGAACGTTGGCGTGCATGTGAGTTTCCACCATCAATACTGCAGATATTTTGAAGTTATATAAGAATATGTGGAAGCTGTGAACAATCTAACACAGACACATTCACATTGCAGCCCCCGGGGCTGGTTTGATTTACAAAATGATAAGTTTTTTTTTGTTGCGCGTGCTTTTTCAAGCCGGTTTCATCCCCAGGTCTCTATACGCAATATCAAGCCAGCCTTTCAATCCCTGGCTTTGGAACTCAAACTGAGTCTGAGACTGAAAGTTCTTCAATGATCCCGTGGTGCTGCTGCAGGCACCAATCTGCTAGACCTCCTGAACGTCTTCGGGAGATGTAAATTCTCAACACCTCGTAATATCAGTCCTTTAGGGTGTCCTCAAACTAATCTATATATGACAACCTATTGGAAAAGCAACTTGAAAGGGCATAGCAAAATCATCCAAAAGTAGCTGTAGCGATCCCGTCGATCCCCTGCCTGTGATGGAGCCGCTAAGCGGAAAGTGCTGAGGAAAATGATCTTCCGCTCCGGGTAGGCAGAAGGTGCTGTGTCCCACTTGGAGCCTGGAGCAAGTGAAAGGTCGTCTTTTCAAATTGCCGTCCTTACCTTACATGTGAAAAAGGATGAAAAAGGAACCAAACATCGTGATTAAGCCTCCTTTTCTCTTGGTTGATTTCCATCTGAGCACAAATAACACTCCGAAAAACAACTATAGCCCTCCAAGAAGCCTAAACTCTGAAACGCATCCATACATACATACTATCATACATACTTAGATCATCTTAGGTCCAAATTTTGAGGCCTGCATGGTTGTACCTGGTATCTCTTAAAATTGTCGACATGTGTTCACTGCCAAGCCTTCTCATCCGACAGAATTTGAGCTGTCGTCAGGAGATGCGGAACCATAGATGAGGCACCTGTCAAAGTCAAAGTGTCCAACAAAAGAATGGCCAACTACTGGAACACACTCATGCTGAGTCATGCTGCACACTGTATACCGCTGTATCTTGTATTCCTGCGAAGCATTGAGCATGTCATCTCGGTTTGTCGATCATGTCACAGTGTAAACAGAATGGACTTGCAACTCAGGCGACTTGGTAGAACGACACCTGAGTCCCAATCCTCATACTCTACAGGAAGTCGCGCTGGTCTCGTTGATCCTGGGGTGCTTGCTCAGTCAAAAATGGAGCATGAGGGGCTCGAGTTGCTAACAGCAACACAGCAAGGAGATGCAAACACAGCAAGTTGCTGCGCTACCTGGTTGAAACCATTTTCCGAAACAATGGGAAACTGAAACATGTTGGAACAACACTAACTTCCCTTCGTTAGATTGTCTGCGATTCCCCCTTCTGCACGAGACCGGCACCCATCTTCATGGTTTGCATGGCAATTGTGTGTCTGTGTTATCCCAATAATGCGTTGGAACAAGAAATTAGGTAACCATCATGAGACGCAAAGAAGTCTAGACCCTAGACAGTCTGACAATGAGGGCAATCTCCCCGACCCAAGTACGCATGTCAACAACAAAGGTTCTGCTCACATATTTTTGTTTTTAGTCTGAGGGGCAAGACAATAAAGTCTTACCCACGAATGCACGTCTAGCCCACGCTTTCAACTCGTTCCTGCGGTCCTGAGCCGCATCCGTTTGTGCAAGGACAGGCCTGCACAGTTCTGCATTCAGACTGTGAATCTGCGGCGAGGACAGCCGTCAAGACACTGCAGAAATTCGATGACTGTCCGCATCTGCGGTATCTTGCTGATTCGCCGAGATCTAGCGACGGTATACGAGGAAATTGAGTCAGACCCAATGCATATTAATGTATGCAAATTTAAACATATAGTAATATACATAATATAGTACGGGGTGAGGGATCAAAAATAAGCTTCGGTGGTATCCCCAACAGCCGCAATGTTTTATTTTTACAAATCTTTCTGAAGCGTGATGCGAAGCCAAGCGCTGGAAACACCGCTTCTCCGTCCTTCACTGCCATGGTGTTTCGCTGTCCGGCAGCCGCGTTTTTTTGTGCTGCAGCAGCAGCAGCAGCAGAGCAGCAGCAGCAGCAGGAGGAAAAACAGCAGGAAAAAGTAGCTATATAATATCCTCATTTTCAATGGATTTCAGAAGTTACGTTAGGGAGCTTTTGGGCGCAATTTTGATGCTTCTCCGTCCTTCACTGCCATGGTGTTTTGCCTGCGGCGTTTTTTACGGTGTTTCGGGCCCTTCGGCAGCAAGGAATTTCATCTTGGCGATGCTAAAAAACCTCGGTTTTTTACGTGGTTTTGGGCTCCGGGAGGTGTCCCGGGGTGGAAAAAATTGCATCTTAAGATCGATTCAACATAGATGGCCCAAACATGGCCCCAACATAGCTCCCAAGAGGGCTCAACATGGGCCAACATAGGCCCAACATAGGCCAACACAGGCCCGACATGGGCCCAAGATAAGCCCAACATAGCTCAACATGGGCCCAACTTGGCCCAACATAGGCCCAAGATGGGCCCAACATGGCTCAACATGGGCCCGACTTGACGCAACATAAGCCCAAGATGGGGGCAAGATGGCTCAACATGGGCCCTTCCATACAGGCAAGCACTGCGCATTATGCCTGACATAGCCCTCCTTGGGTTTGCGTGGAGAATCTCGGCCCAATCTTCCCACACCATCCGCCAAACGTCGTTGCTTGGCCGGCGCCCGGCTGTCAGGCGTAAGCCTTTAAATCCGGGCGCCGGCCACGGCGTGTCCTTGCCGGAGGCCTTCAGTGGTAACCGAAGGTTATAGGCGCTGCGCCCCCTGCCGCCGACCTCTGAACTACCCCTGGACTACTCCCGAGGGACTGAAGTCCCTGTAATTTACGGTGTATTTTGCTTGGGGTGTTAATAAACATTGTTTTTTACGGTGTTTCGGGCCCTTCGGCAGCAAGGAATTTCATCTTGCCGACGTTAAAAAACATCGGTTTTTACGTGGCTTTGGGCTCCAGGAGGGGGCCCAGGGCGGAAAAATTGTCATACATAGCCCAACATAGGCCCAACCTGGGCCAATATAGGCCCAAGATGGGCCGACTTGGCCAAACATAAGCCCAAGATGGGCCCAAGATGATTCAACATGGCCCCGACTTGGCCCAACATGGGCACAACCTGCGCTCAACATAGGCCCAGACTGCTTCCATACAGGCAAGCACAGCGCATCATGCCTGCCTCAGTTCAACATAGCCCTCCCTGGGTTTGTGCGGAGAATCTCGGCCCCATCTTCCCACACCATAAGCCAAACGTCGTTGCTTGGCCGGCGCCCGGCTGTCAGGCGTAAGCCTTTAAATATATGATCTGGACATGTCTGATGTGGACGTGTCACCAAGCACGATTGGCCACATGAGTCATTCATGCATCTGTATTGTCTGAACTGAACCAGGTCGATTGTTCTTTGTTCATTGTTGTTTGCTTCATTGGAGTGACTCCAACTGGCTTCCTGGCCTCGTTCCTGTGGGCTGAGATGTTGCAGAAGCACAAACTGCCTGTCGGCAATGTCTCGACAGCTACAACCTGTGCAATGAGAATTGACCTGGTTCATACTATGTCATACTATGTCATGCTCTGTCATACTATATCTATATCATATTATATATTTCCCTATTATTTATCGTTCTGCAAAACCATCCTCAACTGTCTTTTCTCCCAACTGCTTGGTCCTGCACGTCTGGCCCTGGTTGGACGTGGTTGCCTCAACTTGTTCCCAAACGCTTGTGGACAAGTGGGACAAGTTGAACCGGCTGGACGACAGAAGCACCAGCGCCTTCTGGAGCAACTTCAGTCGCTTCTCCATCTTGCAGTCCGAAGATGGATGAGTAAGTCCAGGAGCCCAAGGCGTCCATTGAGCTGCAGGCAACATCACAAGTGCAAAACTTCTAAATCATCGTTGCCATTTCTCATCTTAAGTTGCAGCTCCTTTGACCCTACCCATTTCGGACTTCGCACATTCTACTTCCAACAGTTTCCTCCCTACATTCCACTCTGTTCACTTCCAATGTCTCCAGCCTTGTGGTCCCAACAGCAACAGAGTCCAGAACACTCGCACCTGCCAATTCAGATGATTCCATCAGTTCCATCCTTGAAAGCTGCTGAATATTGCCGGTTGAATATTACCGGTGCCTGCAGCCATCATTCCAGATCCCAGATCCATGATGCCAGCAGTTGCACCTGGATTCCCAAGGCAGCTGGCCGATGGTAACTGTGAACTGTGACCACTGACCTATGCCCTGGGGCAACGGCTGGCAGCAGCGTCCATGCCAGTCAGAACTGCCTACCACGTTTCATGGTGCAGTGTGGAGGGTGCTGACAGAGTTCCACACCTCCAGGGCTTCTCCGCCAAGGATCGACTCCAGTGCAGACAATGCTCGGAAAAGCCTACAAAACGAGCGCGCAATGCGTGATCAACCATTCTGCTTGGGTGTCTGATAGAGTCTGTGGACTTACAGTTATCTCGGATCTGCCCAGCCACCTCAAAGCCGATGCTTCTTCCAAAACATTTTCTTGAACAAGGATGTCCATTAGCTGCCTGCACTCAAGGGATTCCAGTGCGTACTTCGAAGATAAAATCTACCATTCAATCTTATACAATATTCATAGTTTCAAGAAAGAAACAATGGAATCATTGGCACAACGAAATTGATCTGACTGCCTTCTCCTTCCAGGTGACAAGTGCAGGACCACTCTGGCCATTGTGATTGGAGATGTTGTCTTCTCAGCTTCTGCCACTGCCGCCTGCACCAAGCTCCACAGCATCGCAGCTTAGCAGAGACAGAGGTGTATCCGAACCTGACCGATGGAGTCCAACTCTGAGTCTGGTAGCCTCGAAGCACAAAGAGATTGGATGACTTGGATGAATGGATGAATGGATGAATGGACAGTAAGCTCAAGAAGCCAATGACTCTACCACGACGTTTGCTTGAATCGCTTGCAGTTGCAGCTCTGGGGCTTGAACGCTGCCAAAGCAGCCAGCGATGCACGATAGATGCGTGCACCTAACACAGCGAGACAGTCAGCCCATCCGGTTCCACTGAAGCCAAGTGAAAGGCGAAAGGTTCCACTGCTCGGACGAACTTGGCACCTCTGTGGATTCGCTCCAGTTGTGGGTTCCCCTGCGCGAAAGACTCAGATCTGGAAGGACCGTGTCTTCGCTCACCCCCATCCCTCCATGCCGGAACCTCATCCTCCGGGTGCAAGGACTGAGTTTCCAGCTTCGGTCAGTTGTAATCACAGTGAACTGCGAAACTGTGAAACTAAAGCTGGGTCACAAAACCAAATTGTGGTGGTTTACAAGCTCCGCTCAAATCAGAAACCGAGACCAGGAGCAATTAGATCCGAATTGGAGCAAAGCTCATTGTCGTTTATGCACGTCTAGGCCTTTCCGCAGTTCCAAACACTAGTTGCAATGGCACACAAGCCATTTCCGGTTGACTGGAGCCTATCAAATCTAGGGCAAGCTAGCCGCTATGGCATAGCCGCTATGGCCCTGGCCCCTGCTACAGAATGGTGAGCCAAGTGGGCATCAATCAGCAGCGCCAAATGGCGAGCCTCCAAAAAACGTCCAACTCGAAGTTGTTCGGGACAAAATCCAGTTCTAAAACAAAAGGATCCACCATCCCCAATTTTACCATGTTTATGGATTTTATGGGTGATATAAACATATAAATATAATGTGTATATATATAATATGAATAAACCATCAAAATACAGGTACTTTATTGCTTTACTAACTCTACTAACATTAAACACATTAAAAGGCGATCCACATGACTCTGGGCCTGGACTTGCACTGGCAAAGAGACAAAGCCATTCACCACCATGATTGACAAAGATCGCCGTTCCTCTTCTTCCAGCTCCTTGAAACAGCCAGAAATGCGTTCCAGAGACGTACAAAATCTGTACAAAATCTTCTGCAGTGTTTCACCATGTTCCACATATGTAATGTGGTAAACCCAATAATGAACCATCAGCATTACTGCATTAGCATATGGATATAATTAGATGGTGGGTAGGTACAAAATAGTGGCTTTATGGCATTGGGTTTGCAACATGACGTGGAAAATCATCTGGAGATCCCAGCAAGCCATTGGCGCATCCATGGTGCAAGCCATTCCAGCTCAGCGGCCGCCGCCTCCGTGACCTGTCTCTGAGTTCAAACGCAACCAAGCTGTGTCTGAAAATGGCATGTTTAGCCCAAAATTGCTTTTTACGGGAAAAAAGGGAAAAAAGGTAAAAAAACATGGAGCAACATGGATCAACCAATATCAACCATTGTATTTTGATGGATTAGGTGGGACTTTCGGACCGACCCAAAAGCATTTGCAAGGACGACAAGTTTTGTCTCTTCCCCGTGAATCTGCAAGGCAAATTTCCCCGGGTGTTCAGAAGTTCAGAGCGAAGTTCACAGCTACTGCATCTTGCACTGAAACCCATGAAGCCTCGGATCTTCGGCAGAGAAGACGGCGCATCAATCGAAGGATCACTCGGCAAACCTGGAGTTCTGAAGTGTTTCGTTCATCACCATGGCTTGAGTCAGGAATCGGCCTCGCTGGGCAGCTCATACTCCAGCAGCTGCCGCAATGTCGGCGGTCCTTCGCCCGTCTCCTAGCGCCGTTAGGCCCTATATGCCCTGTGTCCACAACGTCTGCAACAGACCCTGGCCTCTGAGAGCTGGCCGCTGGCAACGGTTGGCAAGAAATCCTGTCAAGGCAACACGGCCTTTAGGCACAGCTACGGCCATGTGAAATGTGGGTATCATATGGTATCATGGAGCCTTGTGCACACAAGTTTGAATGAATTCTGCAAGGACACAATATAATCCGGCCTCACATATTTGAGTTCTCTGACTGGCATCCGCCATGACCCCATCATTCCAATTGCATGGATGTCCTGGAACTGGTCTGAGTCCCGCATCTGCTTTTTGTTGAACTTTAGCCCACTACAGGTTTCAATTATGAATTCCTGGCAATTACAGGAATGTAACTGAATGCCCGATTGGCTTGATCTCAAATCTAGCAACAAACAAGCACTTGTGCGAGTGCTAGAGAAACTCCCAACGTCACACCTCTTGCAAAATGTCATGAAATGTCCAACCAGTGCTGAAGCGAAGTCTTTTCGGTCCCTTTTGGTCAAAGCACGGTGGCAAACACGGAAAGACCAACACAGGGAAGTTTGAAAACAGAACTGTCCTCTGAAACATTCAACGAAATACCGGAATATGATGGATTGTGGGGTGTATAACGTGGATCATCGTCCAAACTCCTCGCAGGATGAAACCGCGAGCACTCTCCCCAGGATTACGACTCCAGCACTGCGTATAGCAGCCCACATGGAGCGGAAGGCTGCGAAGTGAACGCAGTGCCGATGCAGCAATGCTGCACAGGAATGCCACTGGCAAAATGCCAGCGGCTAATTCAATCCCTGCAGGCCCTGCCTTCACACCAAGGCTGCACACAACTGCATTGGCTGCCAGGGCTGGGACGCATGCAAAGTATTGCAAAGCCATAGTAGCGATTCGGGCAGGTTCAGCATTTAGATGTGGGGCAGAAACTGGGCCCTGTGACTACACACAACAAACAAGCCATTCGCGAAGGAATCAAAAGCAAAATCCTGATTTTGGACTCATGCAGATTGTGAAGCAGGAAGGAGCACAGCCCAGTTTCTACGCAACAGCAAAAAGGAGCTCGTGTGCTGAACCGTGCCGAGCCCAATTGGAGCAGACCAGGAGCGTTGCATCAAAGTGATTCGCAAGGCAATGGAGGTGTAAACGGTTGACAGGCTAGCAAGATCTGGCAAGTATATTGTTGTCTTGGTAACACCGGTATTCCCAAACCACAACGCTTCTTTTCTGGCACCTTCAAATGATGCTCGGAGAAAAAGGACGCAACAAATTAAAGGACCGATGCAGACCTCACTGGTGTGGGTACCTTTGCGGTATATCGAAGCAGGAAACAAAGTGCTACAAACTACAAACATCTGCAACAATATAATATCCAGAAATGTGTAAAAAGGTGTTGCGGCAGCCTCTCTGTTTCTGACCCAATCCGCCCAGTTCCTTAGTGCCAAACACCTGAAGACATCTGATCATGAGTGTCCTGCAAAGCCGTTTTGTTTAGACTCCATGTCACTCCACGGCCTTTCAAACTCTGCAGGTGTCCTGGACTTTCCGGCACTCAGACTTTGACGCCTGCGCCATGTGTTGCCACGTCAAATCACCAAAGGAGGCATATCGATAGACTCCAAAATGAGATCCAGGCATCAAATCCAGGCCCAGGTCTGTCCAAAACCTGCTCAGAAATGACTTGTGAACAAGTCTTCATGAAAAGGCAAGAAACCGACCAAAAAGCATGAGGACAGCCACATGCATAAATCTGAATGGGCAGCAACACAAAAAAAATGTGTTCGGAAACATGAAGTCCCAACTTGATCAACAAGCAGAACTGCTTCTTGCGAGACCTTGGAAAAAAGCTGACAGGTGTCTGAATCAAGCAGCCAGAAAGGCAAACCAGCCTAATAAGGCAATATGTCAATATGTTTCTGCTGCCTTGCCTCAAGAGAGGTCATAGGGCCCTCTTCGAAGGCTTTCAAGATGCCTCCTGCAGCCTTGGAGGTCAAGATCAAAAAGGGATTTGATTTGAATGTACTTCCTAGTATCCAAGCCCTAGCAAGAATGGCGGAAACGTTGCCAGGACTTTCTGTAAACTGGGAGCTGGTAAACTGGGAGCTGCAACCTTCAGCTGGCCCTCTGATTTCGCGAGCTCCTGGCAACATCAAAATGTATGGACCCCCAGTCTGCTTTTCAGAGTTTCTTCCGGAAGCCTCACTCCACGGCTTCACATACAACCAAAATTGAACTAGTAACTAGACTTTTAGAAATACCCAGACAACACAACACCACCTGTTCTGCATCGTTCAAAGACTCCGTGGCAAGGCCCTCTGCACCTTCGGCCAGGAGTTGACAGAAGCCCTTCATGCTTACTACCATTCCTACAACGAATGAGATGCCAGCGCTACATGTGTTTGAAGACTGCCAGGCATGAATTCTGGCTTCCGAGAAACAGACTGCAGAATGCAAACAACAAAGAAAGGAGTGTCAGGGTAATTTGAAGCTACATGCTACATCATGCTACAGTCTCAACCAGTTTTGGATATTGTCGGGGGATTGCCCCAGCATCACTTACATGTGTGGGATCAAGGGTCAACGCATTGCATTCGTTCAGCCCCCTGCAAGCAATTTTCTTCGCATTACGGTGTACTAAGTACTATTGGCCTCTTATGGGTTTTGAACAACACTTCATCGTTGCACACAGCTGTCAACATGATCAGGTACTTTCTCATTCTCACATCATTTGCTATCTGAACCAGCATCATGCCACTGCCAGTCAGGATAGACAATGCCTTCATCTCATCCAAAACAATCCAAACATATCAAAACTGAAAGGAGCCATGACGTCACTGACCATCCACAAGGCTCACAAGGGTTCCACAAGGCTCAGAGAAAGATACGCTACCCAGGTCACAGGAACAAGGCCTTCGTCGCTCCGGTGATATTGACCCGACACATTGGGCACGTGCGAAATCGCTGAGATTTCTTGCACTGCTTGCACACCACGTGTCCACACGGCATCAAGGCAACAACTGGTTGTTGCGTAGCAAACAGGACAAGTGCTACTGGTGCCCTTTGGTCCTTTCTCTGAATTCTCGGGCTCCTGAGGCTGCAATTTCCATTCAGCCCAAAGCATGATGGCATCTTCCTCTCCAAAGAAAGGCTCTACATTGGATTCCTCAAAGCCGAGTTCAGTGAGTTTTTGCTCCAAAATCTCAAAGCTCTCCTCACAGAGTTCCCCCTCTTTCTTTACCCGCATCTCACAAGACAAATATCCCTTGGCTGCTCTGCATTTACACTCTGAAATGAACTTCTCCATAGTTTTCTGGAAATCCGCCCTCACCGAAGGTGCTGGGGCGTGATCTTCCGGATGGCACTCGTAAAAGGTTACAGGTTTACCTGGGGGGGGGGGGCATTTTTCGGCCAAAACCTCCTGTTTTTGATAGGTCGTGACGCTCGCCTTCAAAAAACACTGTAAAAAACAGTACGGAAGACACCTGTTCGTGAACGCGCCCGTCCAAAATCGGCAAGCGAAAAGTGAAAAAAAACCGTGTTTTTCAACTTTTTGACCTCAATTTTTTGGTTTGCAACATCTTTTTTTGCGGTTCCGCAGGTGGCCGGGCCCGGAGGCGGATTTTTGAGTTTTTGGACCCGTTTTCGGACTGATTTTCGTCGTTTTGTGATAGCAGAAACACTGGTTTTTACAGTGTTTTTCTGTTTTCTGCATGCTTGACGGCTAGCTTCAAAACTTCCAAAAACCTCGTAAATTACGCTGTTTTATGTTACGGTGTGAATGAAAACATCGTAAATACCAGTGTTTTTTGACGTTGGTTAAAAAAACACTGTAAATTACAGTGTTTTTGGCCACCTGACCCTCAAAAACCATGGTATTTGCAGTGGTTTCTGCTTCTCACCGCGCAAAAACATGTAAATAACAGCAATTTCGCCGTTTTTTCATGTTTTTCGTTATTTTTTGAACTGCGTTGGTCCGCTATACATGGCTATCAAATTCTTCGCATTTTTTTTCCGACAATCAGTACTTTCGGATGTTTTTGGTCTCAATGGCCGACATCATTGGCAGTTACGAGCGGCTGCCCAACGATGCGGTGCGGGCGGTTGCCGTCGCGAAGCGACGTGAATATTTCTCCTGGGCAGACATAGAAGCCCTTCCCAACTCTTGCGCGAAGGACATTGTATCAACAAGTGGATTGGAGATGATTGGAGTGCAAGGCAGCTTGAACCAGCTCAAATGCTGCAGAAACAATTTGGGTTGGATGGTTAAGGCGTTGAAAGCAAACTAACTTTTTTGCCATTCCTTGCGCCAAATGAATAACAAGTACCAAGCAAAGCTACTGGAAAGTTTGGGGGGTGAGACCCAAATGGGGTGAGAAAACCACCTTTAAAAATATGAGAAAACATGGGAAATTAGGGAAAATCATGGAAGATAACGAAGAAAATATGACAACATGACAAGGGACATAAAAACATGACAATTTGAGAATTTGACAGTTTGCGAGAACTGTGGCTCAAATTTCTCAGTCAATGCGCTTGGATGGTATCCAGCACGAGTTTGCAATGTCAAGGGCTCAGGTTCGTACAAAGCCTGTGGGCAGATCCATTACATGTGATTCTCAAAGGAGAGTCTCACACATCAAGGAAGGCAGAATCTCACATAAAGGCAGGGCTTCACAGAAGACAGGGTCTCGCCCACTAAACAAAGGCAGGGTCTCACAGAAGGCAGGGCATCATAAAATAAAACATAAATAAACAAAGTCAGGGTTTCTCACAGAAGGAAGAGTCTCACAGAAGGCAAAGCCTCACAGAAGCCAGGGTCTCACAGAAGGCAAGGCCTCACAGAAGCCAGGGTCTCACAGAAGGCAAGGTCTCACAGAGGGCATGGTCTCACAGACAGCAAGGTGTGTCACTCATAGCAGGGACTCACACAAGGCATGGTTTCACAGAACACAAGGTGTCACATGTTGAACTGAGGCCTAACTCCCACAGAAGGCAGGGCATCACAGAAGGCAGGGCCTCACAGAAGGCAAGGCCTCAAAGAAAGCAAGGTCTCACAGAGGGCCCAACATTATGAACAAAGGCAGGGTCTCAGAGAAGGAAGGGCCTCACAGAAGGCAACGCCTCACAGAAGCCAGGGTCTCACAGAAGGCAAGGCCTCACGGAAGCCAGGGTCTCACGGAAGGCCAAGTCTCACAGAAGGTCTCGCAGAAAGGCTTCACAGAAGACACAGTCTCGCCCATTGAACAAAGCCAGGCTCACAGAAGGCAGGGGGGTGCCAAGCCTAGTTTGGCTACAAGCATGCGTATCACATATGGCGCAATGCAGGGTCTCACACAATAGACAGGGAAATAAAGGATTCCGCACCTGAAGGTGTTTTCACCCGTGAAATCACACGCTCCCGAACTGTTGCTCTCCTCTACTGCTCCCACACGCGAGCTGCTCTTGCTCACTTTCCGGCCCTGGGCACTCTTCCATAACTGAAGCTTAGGATTTTATATTTGGTCTTCGATAGGAGCAAGATTCAATCTATAGACATGCTGCACATTTTTCGATAAGAACAGATGGCAGGGTCTCACACATCAAGGAAGGCAGGGTCTCACAGAAAGGCAGGGCTTCACAGAAGACAGGGTCTCGCCAGGGTCTCACAGAAGGCAGCAGGGTATCATAGAATATAGTTAAGGACAGCTGGTAGGCAGGGATCCGCGCTGATGATCTAGTAAGCAGATTAGGTACACTTAAGTACCCCCATGATAGCAAATTCTGAGGTACACTTCTGCCCACTGGGGTGCCTTTGTTTGTATGTTGTATGTAGCTGAATCTGCCTACTGGGGCCGGGGTTCCCACCATTATGTATATAAACAAATTACATATACCTCAGAATTTGCTATCACGGGGGTACTTAAGTGTACTTGCCAACTAGATGGGCATGGGGGTACAATTCTTACTAGATATTACTAGATCATCAGCGCGGATCCCTGCCTACAGGCCATCCTTAGCTATGAATAGTATCGGTGGGAGATGCACCCTCTGCCAACTGGTAGGAGTGGCGGTCTTGATTTTTCTTGCACCTAGTATCCAATACCCCAAGGTCATGAAACACATAGTACTGCAGTAAGCAGATGGTGGGGGGGGCGGGTTTGCTTTCTTTTTCCCCTCTTGGTCCTTCTCTACCCCATGATGGAACTACATTACTATTTGCTCCTAATTTGCGGGGTTGTATGGGTCCCCGTGCGGACAGGCAGCGTACATGCATACATTAAGGATAGACAGTATAGACAGTGCTAGTGCTGGTGCTTGTGTTAGTGCCAGTGCTGTTCAGCAAATGGAGCCGCGAACTGAGGCGATGTCTCTCTATCTATCTATATATCTATATCTACCTATCTACCTATCTATTTGTATATATGCACATGTCTATGTATATGCTCATTATATCCTCAATGGAAAGGAGGTGCAGTAAGCAGAAGCCACAATATGTTTCGCACCCTTCTGAGGTACACTTCTGCCTACTACCCCTGCTTGTCCAAAACCTGCGAAAATAGCCTCCCCGACGAACATGCTAAAAACACACCAAATCGGACACATTTTAGGGCAGTAGTAACACTAAATTTCCTGCCTCCTGCCTACCGGACGTCTCAGACTATAAGCCAAGTCAAGGTCTCACAGAAGGAAGGGTCTCACAAAAGGCAAAGCCTCACAGAAGCCAGGGAGGCAAGGCCTCACAGAAGCCAGAGTCTCACAGAAGGCAAGTCTTAGAGGGCAAGGTCTCACAGAAAGCAAGGTGTGTCACTCATAGCAGGGACTCACACAAGGCATGGTTTCACATCTGAAACAAAGGCATGGTTTCACAGAACATAAGGTGTCACATGTTGAATTGAGGCTTAACTCTCACAGAAGGCCGGGCCTCACAGAAGGCAGGGCCTCACAGAAGGCAGGGCCTCACAGAATGCAAGGTCTCACAGAAAGCAAGGTCTCAGAGAAGGAAGGGTCTCACAGAAGGCAAAGCTTCACAGAAGCCAGAGTCTCACAGAAAGCAAGGCCTCCCAGAAGCCAGGGCCTCGCAGAAGGGCAAGATCTCACAGAGGGTCTCACAGAAAGGCAGGGCTTCACAGAAGACAGAGACCATTAATTAAACAAAGGCAGAGTCTCACAGAAGGCAAGGCCTCACAGAAGCCAAGGTCTCACGGAAGGCGAAGTCTCACAGAGGGCAAAGCCTCACAGAAAGCAAGGTGTGTCACTCATAGCAGGGACTCACATAAGGCACGTTTTTACATCTGAAACAAAGGCATAGTCACACAGACGCAAGGTCTCACATGTTGGATGAAGGCCTAGCTCTCACAGAGGCAGGTCCTCACAGAAGGCAGGGCCTCACAGAATGCAAGGTCTCACAGAATGCAAGGTCTCACAGAGGGTCTAACATTATGAACAAAGGCAAGGTCTCACAGAAGGCACAGGAGGGAAGGCCTCACAGAAACGCAGGCTCTCACAGACTGCAGGGCCTGACTGAAGGCAAGGCCCAACATGTGAAAGAAGGCTGGGTCTCATAGAAGGCAGGGTCGCACATAGGACAGAAGGCAAAACTTCACATGTGAGAGAAAGCAAGGTCGGACATGTGACAACAGGTAGGGTCTCACATATGGCAGAAGAGGGTCTCGCATATGACAGAAGGCAGGGTGTCACACACGAAAGAAGGAGGGGTCTCGCACATGACAGATTGCAGGGTCTCACAAATCTAACAGGGTCTCGCATGACAAGGCCTCACTCACTGGGCAAGCAAATTCAAATAAAGGTCGTAAACAGGCCAGAAGGGAAGGCATCAGAGAAGGCAGGGCGTCATAGCAATTTCTCGCCAAAAAAAGCATCTTGCAGTAGTCTGGGTGCAGCATGGTTTCACAGATGGCAAGGTCTCACGGAGGGGAAGGCAGGGTCTCACAGGAGGCAGGGTCCCACATCTGAAAGAAAGCATCTTATTTGCAAAGGAAGCATAGGAAAGCAAAATGTTTTTTTTCCGTGATTCTTATGTTTTTCTCTTGTTTTTACCAAATAATCATGTGCCTTCCATGTTTTTCCTGGCAACCCTGGAAAACATCTAATGGGAGGGGTTTGGGAAGGATTATGGGGTGTGTGGGGAGGTGGGTGGGGGGTTGGTGGTGGTGGAGGTGGTGGGGGTGGGAAGGGGAGGGGTTAAGGAGAATGGAAGGGGTTGGGCAAAGTGTTAAGGGGGTGTGGAGGGGGGTGGGGGGGCGGGGGTGGACAGGAGGGGGTGTGCTGAGGGAGGGAAGTCTTGCTCGCCCCGTTAATTGCGTTTTCCTCGCCCCGTTAATGTTGTCGAACGTTTGTCGGAGGAGGGGGTGGGAGGGATTAAGGGAGAATGGAAGGGGTTGGGGAGGGTGTTAAGGGGGTGTGGAAGGGGGTGGGGGTGGACAGGAGGGGGGGTGGTCCTGCTCGCCCCGTTAATTGTGTTTTCCTCGCCCCGTTAATGATGTCGAACGTTTGTCGGAGGAAGGGGTGGGAGGGATTAAGGGAGAAGGGAAGGGGTTGGGGAGGGTGTTAACGGGGCGTGGAAGCGGGTGGAAGGGGGTGGGGGTGGACAGGAGGGGGTGGTGGTCCTGCTCGCCCCGTTAATTGCGTTTTCCTCGCCCCGTTAATGTTGTCGAACGTTTGTCGGAAATCTGCCCTATTCCGACCCTTCCAGCTGCTGTGAGACGCTGCCTTCTGAAAGACCCTACCTACTAGGCTTCTGTCCTGCGAGATCCTGTTAGATCTGTGAGACTTGCAATCTGTCATCTGTGAGACCCTTCCTTCTTTCGTGTGTGAGACCCTGCCTTCTGTCATAAGCGAGACCCTGTTAGATCTGTGAGACCTTGCAATGTGTCAAGTGCGAGACCCTCCTTCTTTCGCGTGTGAGACCTTGCCTTCTGTCATATGCGGGACCCTCTTCTGCCATATGTGAGACCCTACCTGTTGTCACATGTAAGACCTTGCTTTCTCTCACATGTGAAGTTTTGCCTTCTGTCCTATGTGCGACCCTGCCTTCTATGAGACCCAGCCTTCTTTCACATGTTGGGCCTTGCCTTCAGTCAGGCCCTGCAGTCTGTGAGAGCCTGCGTTTCTGTGAGGCCTTCCCTCCTGTGCCTTCTCTGAGACCTTGCCTTTGTTCATAATGTTAGACCCTCTGTGAGACCTTGCATTCTGTGAGACCTTGCATTCTGTGAGGCTTTGCCTTCTGTGAGGCCCTGCCTTCTGTGAGAGTTAGACCTCAGTTCAACATGTGACACCTTGTGTTCTGTAAAACTATGCCTTTGTTTCAGGTGTGAAACCATGCCTTGTGCGAGTCCCTGCTGTGAGTGACACACCTTGCTTTCTGTGAAGTTTTGCCCCCTGTGAGACTTTGCCTTCTGTGAGACCATGGCTTCTGTGAGGCCTTGCCCTCTGTGAGACCCTGGCTTCTGTGAGGCTTTGCCTTCTGTGAGACCCTGACTTGGTTTATTTTATGATACCCTGCCGTTTGTGAGACCCTGCCTTTGTTTAATGGGCGAGACCCTGTCTTCTGTGGGGCCCTGCCTTTCTGTGAGACCCTGCCGTCTGTTCAATTTATATCGAAAAATGTGCTACATGTCTATAGATTGTACCTTGCTCCTAGTATAGACCAAATATAAAATCCTAAACTTCAGTTATGGAAGAATGTCCAGGGCCGGTCCTGTCATTCTGCCGCCAACCAGAAAGTGAGCAAGAGCAGTTCGCGTGTGGGAGCAGTAGAGGAGAGCAACAGTTCGGGAGCGTGTGATTTCACGGGTGAAAACACCTTCAGGTGCGAGGTCCTTTATTTCCCTGTCTATTGTGTGGGACCCTGCATTGCGTCATATGTGATACGCATGCCTGTAGCCAAACTAGGCTTGGCACCCTCTGCCTTCTGTGAGACCCTGCCATTGTGTAATGGGCGGGACCCTGTCTTCTGTGAAGCCCTGCCTTTCTGTGAGACCCTCTGTGAGATCTTGCCTTCTGTGAGACCATGGCTTCTGTGAGGCCTTGCCTTCTGTGGGACCCTGGCTTCTGTGAGGCTTTGCCTTCTGTGAGGCCCTTCCTTCTGTGAGACCCTGACTTAGTTTATTTTATGATATCCTGCCTTCTGTGAGACCCTGCCTTTGTTTAATGGGCGAGACCCTGTCTTCTGTGGGGCCCTGCCTTTCTGTGAGACTCTGCCTTCCTTGATGTGTGAGACCCTGCCATCTGTTCTAATTTATATCGAAAACTGTGCTACATATCTATAGATTGTATCTTGCTCCTATCGAAGACCAAATATAAAATCCTAAGCTTCAGTTATGGAAGAGTGTCCAGGGCCGGTCCTGTCATTCTGCCGCCAACCAGAAAGTGAGCAAGAGCAGCTCGCGTGTGGGAGCAGTAGAGGAGAGCAACAGTTCGGGAGCGTGTGATTTCACGGGTGAAAACACCTTCAGGTGCGAGGTCCTTTATTTCCCTGTCTATTGTGTGAAACCCTGCATTGCGTCATATGTGATACGCATGCCTGTAGCCAAACTAGGCTTGGCACCCCCCTGCCTTCTGTGAGACCCTGCCTTTGTTTAGTGGGCCAGACCCTCTGTGAGGTCTTGCCTTCTGTGGGACCCTGGCTTCTGTGAGGCTTTGCCTTCTGTGAGGCCCTTCCTTCTCTGAGACCCTGCCTTTGTTCATAATGTTGGACCCTCTGTGAGACTTTGCTTTCGACGCCCTTCCTTCTGTGAGAGTTAGGCCTCAGTTCAACATGTGACACCTTGTGTTCTGTGAAACCAGGCCTTTGTTTCAGATGTGAAACCATGCCTTGTGTGAGTCCCTGCTATGAGTGACACGCCTTGCTTTCTGTGAGACCTTGCCCTCTGTGAGACCTTGCCTTCTGTGAGATCCTGGCTTCTGTGACGCTTTGCCTTCTGCGAGGGGCCTTCCTTCTGTGCTGCCTTCTGTGAGACCCTGCCTTTGTTTAATGGGCGAGACCCTGTCTTCTGTGAAGTCCTGCCTTTCTGTGAGACCCTGCCTTCCTTGATGTGTGAGACCCTGCCATCTGTTCTAATTCATTTGAAGATATTTGAAGATGTTTGATGGGCGAGACCCTGCCCTACCTTGCCCTCTGTGAGACCATGCCATTTCAAGCTCGTTCATTTGAAGATATTTTGACCTACAAGAAAAAGGAGACCACTGCTGTCCTGATTCTCCTTTGAGAATCACATGTGATGGATCTGCCCACAGGCTTTGTACGAACCTGAGCCCTTGACATTGCAAACTCGTGCTGGATACCATCCAAGCGCACTGACTGAGAAGTTTGAGCCACAGTTCTCGCAAACTGTCAAATTCTCAAATTGTCATGTTTTTATGTCCCTTGTCATGTTGTCATATTTTCTTCATTATCTTCCATTATTTTCCCTAATTTCCCATGTTTTCTCATATTTTTAAAGGGGTTTTTCTCACCCCATTTGGGTCTCACCCCCCAAACTTTTCAGTGACAAAGGTAAGGATCCAATCTAGGAAAATATGTTGAACACAGCCATTAAAACTATCCGTGAAACCAACGTGCAAAAATGTGGACTTCTGAACGCACACTGGAACGGGGATCAAGTGCTACTACAAACTAAAGCGCTCGAAACTGGCAACCTACTGTACATGACGTTTTTCTGCTGGTTGAGATACGAAGGGCTAATCTAGGCATGAAGCATCTTGGAAAAGTATCCCACATTTGCCCGTCTTCACAAGTGACCCTACAAGGATGGACTGAAGACAGGAAAAGGATGTGCAAAAAGCACACAGATTGCGACAAGTTCAAATTTATTACACATCATTGCGACACAGGCAGGGCACATCTCGTCCGTTATTGAATGCCTGAGGCTCGGACTTTGCGCTTCTCTCACTTCTATCTCTGCCAAGCGAAGACAGTGCGCGCTGCGAGCTTGACTATGTCTAGCCTGCAAGCTGTGTTCCACAACGACAAGTGCTATGATTCATGGGCATGCAGCATAACCCATCAGGTCTGCAGCGATTCCATCCTCTTATCCTCAAGTGCACCGAGTGCTGCACGTCTGCGAAGGCTTCGGAAGCAATTTCACGTGCTGCTTCTGCATCCTGCAACGATCACAGATGGGAAGGTCAGAAGGTCCAACAGTACCAAGGACCCCAAAGCACCTGGACAGCCAAGCGCTCAGCTTCTGCTGATGGTATGGCCTTCAACAAATCTCAAAGAAATCTGCTGCAGTTCAGTTCTTTCTGCCCTTATCCGGTCAAGCCCGGATGAGCCAAAGGCAAAGGTCTGTCAGGTAGGTATGAGTCAATATTCGGGTACCAATGCACCCATAAGATTCGTCATTGTTTGGATTGATCCTTCCATTTTGGGTGTTACCGTGTTACCCGTATGATTTGACCCATACCCATAATGTGTTTTCGCATGTTTTCGCTAAGTACAAAATCCGAAGCACGGTGCGCCTCCAAGAGTTTAGAGAGAGCACCACTAAGCTGCTCTAGCGTAGCTTTGTCAAAGGGGCCGCGTTTCTGGCCGCAAATCAACATGAAAAAAAGATGGACAATCTCCTGCAATTCTGAACTTGTGGATCGAGTTCCCCTTGGAGATGGGAGATCCAATGGGACACAGTGGCATTGACTCTAAAAATGAGCGAAATCTGTGGTCCCGACCTAAATCAAGAAACGGACATGAGGCCCTTCGCTTTTACAGTGGTGGCGCAAATGTTTGATCACGGCAAACAAAGCTTTAAAGAAACATTTCAGAAACAAAGTCATGATGCTAAAGGTGCCTCTGGAGTCATTTTCAGAGAGGATGAGGCTGCATCCTTGAGAGAGTCTTCCAACTTGATCCTTCCCTCAGGAACTTGACAGGGTTTTGATGCTTTTTGTCCATGGTTTCAGAGAACTCTGCTTGCTTATGTTTTGCCAGCAGCCACACAAACATCTGAGTGCAGCTCTATGAGCTGGAGGACAGCTTCTGCATGAGACAGGAAGTCCTTGAGCTTCATGCACTTTCCAAGGCTTTCTAATTAGAATGTGGCAAACAAGGATCAGACAGAGCTCCCTTCCAGAATTGCAGGCATGCGCCTGCCAGGATTGAAATGGAGCTTCGCGCTCTACAGTTGAAATCAATGCGAATCCGGTCCAAGCCCGGGCTTGCATAAAGCGACAGCGTGTGATAAGGTCATGCAGCCATGCACCTCTCTACTGCAAGCTGCAGTTCCTCTTTGCAGCCAGCGACCTGCAGGAGTTCAAAAGACCTATCCGAGATTACTCGAGCACACCTCTGTTGTCCAAACAGAATGAGATGAATGAGTATATCAGTATGTGACTGTGACTGGATCCTGTAGAAAGGGAACAAAAAGCAACGAAGAGCCATGTCCAATCACAGAATCAGGAGCTTTCACAACTGATCAGAAAAGTCCAAGTCTGAGCATTACGTCGAGTACAGCAAGTACTAAGTAGCTAGTCGCATGTCTGGCCTCAGCCAGCTTGGACCTGTGTCTATTCAGCTCCTCCTCAACTTCATCCAAAGCTTTCCGCTTGGATTGGAGGATCTTGTTGTCTTGGAGGAAGGCAGTCTGCACCAGGCTGGAAATTCATCAGCAGTTTCCAACAAATGTTTTCTCAGCATTTTATCGGCATTTCTGGCGGCACAACTCATGGCCTTTGCAGAACGAAAAGCTGCAATCGCTCCAGAGAAGCCCTGGCGTTTCTGGCAACTACAAACAAAAACAATGCTTGCGCAGAGCTTCACAAATCTTCGAGAGTGCGCTTTGCAACAGAAGCCTGGCCTCTTTCGCATCTTGCAGCTCTTTTGTTCTATCCTGCATTGTGAAACAAAGCACACTCTGGAAGGCTGAAAGGAAGCTGCAAAGAGACTGTCGCAAGGGGTGTGGTACAGAGCATCTTGACTCAGGCCTTGGTGAAGCTTTGAAACTTCTCTGCCTGGCGTCAAGGCTCCAGGTGATAGATAATATAGATATGAGTGCTGCAAGGAGTTGTCCATGACACAATGATCACTATCCAACCACTGCGCCTCTTCAGCTGCCTTCTGGCAAGTCATTCGCAAATTCTTCTGGCTGTCGTGGAAGGCCTGACAACACCATCAACCTCCAATTCAGGATGCTTTTGTTCAACCCATTTCTGGTCAAATTAGGGATGGCTTACATGGGCTTACCACATTACCTGCCCAAGCAACTGTGTCAAGACTCCAGCTGCCCATTTCCGATCCTCTTTGGCCAGCTCAGCCCCGAGTGTCTGGAATCGGTGTCGTTCCTAGCCACGCATTCCCTATCCAAGGAATCCAAGCTGTCTGCTCTGAGTGTGTGAGAACCCACCAGCAAACAGTTGGAACATGTTAGAATTCGTTCCTCTGGGCAAATCCGCATGCTCTTTCTCACAAGAAGCCGCAGCCTGGGCAAAGTGTCTCGTGCGATTTCGCTTGTGACAAACATTCAAAGCACCGAAGCATTGCGAAGCTCAGCATCTAAGCATGGAGGCTGACCGAAAGCTGCCCGGCAGATTATTCTTGCTGTTTGAATTGAAGAGAAACCAAAGCTGGCAAGGATTCGCAAGGATTGCAACCATGGGGTGCAGCCTCATGAGTACTTTGATGTTGCGAGGAAGGGTCTAAACTTTGCGGGTGCCAACAGGTTGTGAGGAAGAGCCCACGACAGCAGTAAGGCATGAGACTCTTCAGCTTCGATAGTCTTCGATGGCAGGAAGGATGCAGCCCGAACCACAGGGTAGACTCCAGAAACAACAAAAAGAGTTAGGTCTGCAAAAACTAAGTAACTAAGTTCACTGCAACTGCCGCCCACTTTCCGACACATCCAAGAGCTTGTCCACGGCCTCTCGCACTTTTCCGGTTGCCATAATTTGCTATCACAGCAACGCGGAGAAGTGCAGAAGTGCAGGAAGCGTAAGCAGTTTAAACATCCAAGAGTAAAGCTCTCCTGCTCCACATCTGCCATGCATCTTTCTCTGGATGGTTCGGATCCCTGAGGGCAGTTGCAAAACAGACTCAAGCATAAATTGAATCAAATGAGTTGTACAGTTGTACTGCACACCTGTTGAGCCAACCAAATTACATGGCTCCAATCGCCTCCAAGCAGTGCTTCTTGTTAGGACCACTTGGAAGACTCCTTCACACGCGAGTGATTGTATGCCATCCTACGCTGATTGTGCCTGATTGACAATGTAGCATAGCCAAGCATGAGGCATGCCATGCAATGATGCATGCCTTGATGTGGGGGACTTTATAGCACTAGAAAAATGTTTCATGACGTGAGAAGATATGAGGATGATATCTCATGGTGATTTACTGAAGCTACTGCTGTTCACTAAAGAAAGAATTGAAAGTCGGCACAAGTCACCTTCTGCATTTTCCATCCAGACCTGGCTTCAACACTGGAAATCAATGCAGCAATTCATGAAAGGCAGCATTTGGGTGCTTTGAGCTTGAGGGCCAAACCATGATCCATTCTTCTTAAATGGCTTTTGAACACTGTGATGTCAGCTGGCCAGAGTTGCTTGTCAACACTGTATGTAAGTTGATCAAGAGTTACATCAAGGACGTAGCTGAGCTGCTATGTTTGCCTATTCCTCTATGTCCCGTTGATGTCGTGCACTGCAGCTCTAAGAAATCGCACATGAAAGTGACCATGTAAAACACTGAGATCCTTATTCGTGTCACCTTGATTCTTTCTCTTGCTGCGGTATGAGTCAAGCAGTTCGGTCACATCAGTGCGAATGTCTTTCTATTGACTTCTCTTGCTACGACACTCTTTCAGGCCCAAAACGGAATGATTTGCTAATCAACATGACCAAGATCTGGTTGCCCATACTGTGCCGTCTCAACACCACTAGATTCGGGGCGAAAGTGTGTGGGGATTGGCAACCCCCTATTGGTGGGATTGTTGATCCCCGAAACCCTGCTTAATGGGATTGGTGACATTTGGACAAGGACAAACATGCTGGTCTGAAGAACCATGCAAAATCAGAGAGGCTACTCAGGAATCTCTGTTCGCATGACTAGTGATAGTGAAGAAGCCGCGGTAAGGAAAATCTGTTCCAGAATCAAGAATCTGGTGTTTGCATTCATCACAGCTGGCTGCCACATGCTCCTAGGACCCCAACACCTTTTGCACCGTTAAGCCGACACGATTTCAGACCGTGAAACGTTAGAGACTCAAGAAATGTTAGAGGCTCAAGAACTGCTCCTGGACCTGAGAAGAGTCACCACCGGAATCTGATTCACCCCATGTAACGACTGCGCCGTTTGCCAGTATGGCCACAAACGCATGATAGCCGGCCTTGAGGTGCTGTACATTCCTGAGCTTATGCTGGACCGCGGAGCTTTCGCCGCCGAAAGCGGGATGGCCCCATGTCACCACAGATCCATCTTCCAGGATTGCGGCAAAGGCCTTATCTGCCCCATGAACCTGCTGCACAATCTTGAGCTGATGCTGGACTGCAGAGCTGTCACCACCCATGTCTGAGAGGCCCCACGTCACAAGAGATCCATCTTCCAGCATTGCAGCAAATGCGCCGCCACAGGACCAAAGTTTCTGCACACCCTTCAGCCGATCTTGGACAGCAGAACTATCACCCCCCGCCACCCCTAAACCCCACGTGATGATGGACCCATCTTCCTTCAGCACAGCGAACGCACAGTTTGTGCCCTGGACCTGCTGCACACCCTTGAGCTGATCTTGGACTCCATCGCTGTCACCACCCTCATCCCGATTGCCCCACGTCACGACAGATCCGTCTGCAAGGATTGCAACAAATGCTTCATTTTTAGGTGCTGACTCAACTTGCTTAACATTCCTGAGACGGGCTTCGACACCACTGCTGTCACCTCCAGCATATGGACTGCCCCATGCCACAACCGACCCATCTCCGAGGATGGCAGCAAATGCTGCTGATGTGGCCTGGAGCTGCTTCACATTCTTGAGCTGATCTTGGACGTCAGAGCAGTCACCGCCTGTATTTTCATCACCCCACGTTACAACCGATCCGTCTGCCAACAAGGCAGCGAAAGCTCCGAATGTGCCCAGAACCTGCTGCACAGTCTTGAGCTGATGTTGGACTGCAGAGCTGTCACCACCCAGGTCTGAGTTGCCCCACGTCACAAGGGATCCATCTTCCAGCATTGCAGCAAATGCTTGATTTGTCGCTGCGATCTGCTGGACACCTCTAAGCTTGCCTTGGACTGCAGAACTGTCCCCGCCTTCAGCCGGTCTGCCCCATGTGACCACCCTGTCACCTCCACGGATGCACAAGGCAAAGGCACCCCCAGATGCAGCAAGGATCGGCTCGACTGCAAGAGCTGTCACGTGGTCTCCATCTTCCAGCCCGGCAGCTTGCAGAGATTCGATGGCATCAGTCAGGATGACACCATTGGCAGTCACCAACTTCACAAAGCCTTGCCCGAAAGTTTCTTGTGCAAGCGTCCTCAAATCCCCTACATTGGAAGACTCCGGGATTAACAGCCGCTCACCGCGGCCGCTTGGGAAAGCAACAGTGATCTGCTTCATTGAAGCAATGTGGACACTGGCGCAGGCTGGCTGGCACAGTACTGGTACATAGCATGATCTATGAAACTATGATGAAGCTTGGAGGTTCTGATGTGTGCTGCAAGTACCTGTGGCAATCTCTCTAGAATACATCTAACGAAAATTTTGAGCAATCAGAATTCAAGTCAAATAATACATGTAAGCAGCAAACCCAATTTTTTTTGTTGGCACTGTTGTTAAAAATAAGCTTCGGTGGTATCCCCGACAGCCGCAACGTTCCATTTTTACAAATCTTTCTGAAGCGCTGCGAAGCCACAGCTGGGTTTCCGTGAGTTATGTATAATATATATATATATTATATATATATATATATATATGGCCGCAAATCCTGTTGAACCTCACCTGGCTCTCCGGAACCTTCTCCGGAACCCTGTTGAGCGTCACCTGGCTCCGCACCGGACCCTGTAGCACCTAGCCTCCCACACCTTCTCCGGAGCCTTCTCAGGAACCCCGGCTCTGTACCAAAGCCTCCCAGACCTTCTCCGGAACCTTCGGAACCTTCTCCGGAACCTCGTTGAACCTGACCCGGCGCCTGCACCGGAGCGTTCTGCACCAAAGCCTCCCAGACCTTCTCCGGAACCTTCGGAACCTTCTCCGGAACCTCGTTGAACCTGACCCGGTGCCTGCACCAGTGCACACCGGAGCTATTCTGGGCTGAAGACCCCATTAGCTTACGCTGTTGGGGAAAAACTTAGACTTAGCTTCGTCGCTCCATGCTGTCTTCTTTGAACCCGACATTCCAAGACCAGAAATTTGACTTTGAAGATGCGAATCTGTGTGCTTCAAATCGATTTCCGACCGCTCTCCCCAGCTTTTTCGAGGGCGTGAGGCAGTTTGCAAGGCCTCTGCCTTGAGCCTAAGGTCTTTTGCAAGCAGGCCGAAACTGCCAGTCGCAGTCGCAGCTCAGACTCCAAGTTCACCGGCAGGTTGCGCAGCGCAACTTGGTAAAACTTCGAAATAAAGACTGATCAGACTGCAATTCCAGGCTCTACAGCGCGGCTTGTGGCCATTCACTGCTGTTCACTCATTTCTTAGCTTCACTTCTCTTTCTTTTTTTCGGCAGCCTTGCACAAAAAAACCACAACAGAACGAATGGAAGGTGGACTGGCTATCGACTGCTACAACAAAGTTAATGCAAAATACTGATGAACCTAGGCACGCAAGCCAAGCAAACCAAAAATCAAGAGCAGGCAGTTTTATATTCAAGACTAGTTGTTGCACGCTCTTTGCAAGATAGCACCCACCCCACACCAACGCGCTGCACCTTCTTCCAACTCAAAGAAACACTAGTTTTAAGTGCTATGTAACCTATGTACACAGTGAATCTCACAGGGTGAGACAATCATTGCCTTACAAAGACAAGAAGAAACAATATGTACACCTCAAGTTTTCTCCAAACATGAGGCCAAGATTGAGTCGACTGCTTGTCGCAATCAACGATGGTGAGAGTGAGAATTATCATATTTGTGCTGGTTTAGATTGAGACATCCCAACTCCACTCACGGTGAGACTAGTCTGGGATGTCATCGTATTGTGGTACTCGGCGGTATTGGCCTTGCCCCAATGTACCACTCAAACAATGCAAGCCTGCGTCCTTCGTCCCTTGTCCACTGAGATCCGCTCCGAATTGTTTCACATATGCATGACCTGGCATCGACACGAGTACGAATCGAGCATGTAAACTTGAGATGAGCAAACCCAAAACAAGCAACAGCAGGACAGAACTCAGCCGTTGACCTTCTGAATTGTACTGCAACAGGCCAGAACGGGATCTTAGTCAGCATTGCACTCGCATCAGATACGACTGAAGCTGGATATACAGGAGTGTTATACATTGTCACACAATGTTATACATTGTTATACTAGTGTTTGAATTCGCATGGCTAGTAAGGCCCATGCCTTCCACCTGTGAGGAACGCCAGGGTGAACAAGAGCCAAATCCTGGTGCTTTTTTGAAGTCGTTGAACTCAAGATACTCAAGACATCTCAAGACCAAAGGTGGACGAGTCGTCTGGGTGTCCGACGGCCAGCACCCTAAGACATTCACTGTGAAGCGACTCAGAGATCGATGCACAAGTCCGCCACGGACCCAGGCCTGAAAGATTCCAGGCGCCAATTACAAAATGCTACAAGGCGGTCTGAGTCGGAATGATGATGTTGAGCAACTTCAACTTGGGGTCACAACTCGTCTTTCCCACAGAAGTTCAAACCTGTCCAGTGTTTCTTTCAAAACAAAAGCATGACCGCATAACCAGCACATACGCCACGACCAAACATGTCAGGCGAACGTTGACTTGGAGGGTGGAGCTTTGTTCGAGTATTGCCTTGGAATAAAAGATGATGTCAAGTTACAATTGACCCTGTGTCTGCAGGACATGTCAGAACATATTTTGGAGTCTTTCATGAAGGCTCCTCAACAAAAAACTGCAGTAGCTGCTTCACCCCTCCAAACAAGCTGTGGTGCGTGTAGGTGCCTCGATGAAAGCCGTGCCTGAATCATGCCATTTCAGATCCATGGAATTGGACGCGCAAAGGCCAGCCACCAGCCTGGAATGGAAGGATCCTGGAAAAGGATGGTGTGGTTTTCCCATCTTTGCTGCCTGGGACAGCGCAGCTTGAAGGGAAAATGAAAGTGTTGGCAGAATGCCAAGCTGTTTTGAACTGAGGTGGCGCGGGACCATCAAGCACCGAGGCAAAGGGCGGATGTACATTACCAGCCACTTAGGTAGCATATGGGGAAAGTAAATCCGATGCACCGATCAACCAGGAAGACCTGCTGAATAGACTTCTGTTAGAAAATGACTTGTCTTGGTGCAAGAACACGAGTCCAAGTACTCTAAATCGGGGGCTGACCTCCGTTCCTGGATTTGTTTGATAAAGGAATAAAGGAACATTAGCACCAGGGTGCTAGAAGCATGTTGCAGTTTACAGGGTGATCACCTATCCGGCCTGCTGCGCATCTTGCCTTCTGGGGCTTTTCAATTCCTGCAGAAATGTTTTCCCATTTCAAATTTATAAGAACACGAACAGGAAGTTCTCTCCCCGTGCAGCACAGAATTCACTGGCGGCCTTGTATGCTGACTGGAGCTGCTGAAAAGCTGCATGTGAGTTTGGCGAATTACCTCAGAGGAGAAATGCTTGACCAGTAACTTGACCAGGCAAACAAGACTTGCCACTGCATGAAAGCTGAGTCCACTGCTCTTGTCTGGGTGAAGCTCTTTTGCCTGCGAAACAGAATGGTCCTAATGAATCGATGAAAATTCTGAAAACAAAAAAACATCATAAAAGCAAAATGCCGCATAAATCAACAAATGCTCCGTTCCTTCTTCAAGAAGGCTCGTCTAATATCATGGCTACTTGCTCCTCTAGGCACACCTTGGGCATCAAAATACTTGAACCAAATTGTTCACAAAGGAAAAATGATGAAAGAATGAAAGCCATGGGGCACGAATTGATCATTTTTCCTTTTTGATAAGATCTTCAAAACTTCAGAAGTGTACATCACCCAGGATATCCCAGGATCCAGCCGAGGATATCGTGCGGATCCGTCGTTGTGACAGGATGCCCCGCAGCCTGTACTGCAGGTGGTGACACAGTGGTGCAGCTCTGGGGTCTACCAAGCCTTGACACAAGAGCTGCCGGAAGCACTGTTGAGGACTGTGTTGTGTGTGTGAGGTGCCCAAAAGGCCAATCAATGCCATAGATTGAGGATGATTGAGGCTAAAGGAAGGCTGATAAATGTTGGTCAAAACGCTTCAGAAACTGCTTTGTAGGCAATTTGTAGGAGGTGTCTTGTTGTTTCTGTTGCTTGTAGACCATCTGAATGTTGATTCTTCGATCTGTCATCCAGAAATGGTTCAAGGTTGGAGGCTAAAGCAATCTCTGGAAGTGGAGTTTTGTCAAGGACTGAGGCCTGCTTTGTCTGATATATCTTGAGCCAGCGGCAATCAAACATGTCGTTCCCTGGGCAGCACTTGGATCCAAACAGGCAAGGTGCAAGTCAGCCTGCCTCCTTACTATGCTCTTTCTCAAACTTTTTGACCTCATGCAGTGCAATAAATCATTCCTTTGCCATGTCTCAACTCAACATGAAAGGGAACAAAAACACTGGAAAATGCAGAGAACTTGTTCCGTTTCCATCATTTGAGAAACTTGAGACCTCCACCAGTTTGGAGAACTCTGCTAGGATCTCCTCCTGTCCCAGGTAGCCATCGCTGTCAAAGTAGCGCCCAACAGACGTCTGGCAGCCAGGAAGGATTAGTTGGCTAAGCCAGCCATGGCAAGCCGTTGAAGGGGAGACCCATTGGCACATGAGGCCAACGTGAGGAAAGACTTGACAAAACAACAGAAGGGATGTGAAGCGACATCACAAGCAGCATTCAACAATAAATCTGTCATGTGTGTCAGGCTCACATGGATTTTGTGCGCAGTTGTTGAGCTTTGAAATCTACGAGCAGCACAAACTGGGGAGTGCCAGCAAAGGCATCAAAGGCATCAACAACACACACCTGATAGGAGTGCCAGCACATGAAAATCATCAAAGCTGCTCCGAAGGCCATGCCCTGGTGGCCTTGTACGACACTTCCGCTTTCTTCTTCCTGGGGGAGGCATTTCAAGCATTTGCTTCTGAGTTTCCTTCGTGCTCGCCACAGCAAAACCGAAGCCTTGCTATCTCACATACCATAGCTGGAGGAAAGATAGCTGTAAGTTGTGAGCAACCAGTAATGAGTCTGCAATATAGTCTATCTAAATAATTCATTATAATTCTATATTCATATACAGCATCATTTAGCTATATTTGTATGTCAAGTTTCTCAACTTAGACTGTAAGCCTCTCGGAAATCTAGGTGCGAGCAAGAAGCGGACCAATTCGTTTCCTGGCACGAGACAAGGAAACGACAATGTCTGAAGATCACCAAAGACATAGGATTCCAGTACGGCTACGGATGCTTGTTGGCCAGATAGCAACTATGGAGTTCCTGTTCTGTTGAAGAAAACGCAAAGAAGTAGAATGAAGGTCAGGTTTCACATTACCCACACCCAAGGGGCCCAAGCCTGAGGCCAATTTCCATGTCTTGCGAAAAGGGCAGCATAGTCACATCAACAAAGACGGTCTCTCCACCCACCTTGGAATTGAACATTGCTCCTTCCACGAAGAAATTCAACGCAGCTTCCAGGTGTCGGGCTTTGAGGCACATCACAGAGGTCTTTATGACCTGGGTGCAGTGGAGCAGTGGATATAAGGCGCTGCCACTTCACTCCCTGAGGCGCTGGCAAACATATCAATAAGAGCGACCATGGCAGAGAACAGGAAGTATCCAGCTACACAAACACCAATGTAGATCCGGTCCTGCAAATGGAGGCAGTGAAGTGCAATGGTTTAGACCACTTTGGCAACAAAACGCTCAAGAGAACCTGTCCTTGGGAAACTTCAACACAAACTGGGCGTAGCACCCAAAAGAGCAGCAAATTATGCAAAGCATTATTCTGATGTTCGTCCAAAAGTGGTCCTTGCAGCGCGGGAGAATTTGATGCAAAAGCTGCTATGATGGAATCGTGCACTCCGAAGGAACATGTAGAAATTCAAATCGGGCTTGTGATTTGAAGGATACGCCAAGAAACAAGCCAAGCAGTTTTGGCTTTTCAAAACCATGGCAGCCCTTGGGCCAAACAGAACAACTAATTGCCCCAGGAGTAAACTCAGAAATTGACAGAGGATACCGTCAATATCAACAAACATCCTGAACAAAACAATCAATCTGTGTCTACAGCATTGTATAATTCCATGGCTAGAACGTAATTATCTTTACAATTACAACAAACGATATCAGGAGTGAGCTAAATTGATGGCAGTCCTCCTGAAAACCCATGCGAGGAAGCCTGAGGCTGCACCAATGGGAAACTAAATCGGCATAGTCCGGTCTATCTCTCTCTCTCTCTCTCTTTTAATGGTGGCTGTCTCATTGTTTCTTTCTGCAAACTTGTTAGTCCCCTTCATAATTTATGAAGGTTGCTTTTACACATATATTGTGACTACTTGAGTAAACCGCGGGGGCGCTCGCAACACAGATTTTAGGTGAACCAGAACTTGTCCAGCACTCCCAAAATGTTCACTCCAGATTGGTACGCACATACTCCTTGACCAACAACGAAAGTACTGGGATCGCGACGCATCGTTGAAGAATTCGGACACTGCCTCAAATGTGGGGCAAACGGCAGATCGATCAAATCCTTACAGACTCTTGAACGCAATTTTCAGCACCGGCACCTTCAGCAGGTCTGTCTTGGAGTACAAATTTCCAGCCTGCACCATCTACATTTACAGACTGACTGCATTTTTTTCCATGTGCAACTGTGGATTTGCAGCTGGGATTCTGCACGAGGTTTCTTGCCTTCTTCTCATCTACTTCAGGCAACCTGAAAGCAAGAAAATCTGCTCAATGCTGGTGCATCAACTGACAAAGAACCAAGCTCCGCACTCCATGTCATTCACAGAAACATTGCATAAAACCCTGCTGCTTGAACCAAACTGCGGTCATCGATTCGAACAAAACTTAGTTGACACTGTTGTTGACTTCGCTTCCAAGGTGTCTCCAGATTTCCATTCACTAGAACTTCAGGCCATGTGCAAGTTCTCAATGCTTGTAGTGGGCATCCCCAAACAGCTTTCCGTCACAGGCAGGTCTGGCACCAAGCTTCTTTCAAAACCGGCGGTGGGTTTGTCAGGACAAGCAAACGATGGGGATCTTACAGTGTCTCTGTACATTCGGAAAGTTGATATCTGTGTCTGGTTTTTTTGCCTTTGATGGCAAAAAAACAAGACCTGGGATCGGGGCAGTGTTGAGATTGCCAAGCTCAATCACCGAACACGTGCATCCTGCGTTCGAGCGATTGGAATCTCCCAATCCGTCCAACGCCGTCCACATTCTGGAGGGAGGACCTCAAGTCCCTGAAAAAAAGCAGGACTTCGCTATAAAGAAACAACAAACGGGCCGCCGTTCAATCAAAAGTCAGGGCTTTTCTGCAACGATCCAGAGGAGTTTTCAAACGTGTGCCAAAAAAAACTACTCATGATGTTAAAGATCGATTTGCTGATGAACTCGAAGGATAAAAAACTTCTGGACTTAATCTCAACAAGACCAGAATACAAACGAACTGACAAAACACTCCGAAAGCCATTGGCAATGCCATAAGGCGCCCTCCGTACATAGATGGGCTCACAAAGACCTCGGCAACGAGGCTATAGGTGGGCTATAAGGGTGCTCCACATGGGAAACACCCTGGTGACACTGGGAACTTTCTTCCAAGACAAGCAGCTGAAAAAATTGCCTGATAAAGCGGCGGCATCAGGACCACAAACCTTGGATGTCGAAAAGACACGCACAGGTGGGACAACATTGAGGTCAAGCTGAAGGCAAGGTGCGACAATAGTTCAATGACGAGACAGGTTCAAAATGGTTCAAGCAAGTTGCGGCCTAGTGTGTCATTCGCAGTACACAAAATCTAGCCATCTTTTGGCCAATGAGGGGCTGTGTGATCCCTTGACCCTTTGCAACAAAGGGTGCAGCCACCTGTCTGTCAAGGCACAAGTTCTGAAGTGCCAGCAGTGTGGCGAGTAGTGCTCCCCTTTCTGTTTCACTGGTGGCCGCGGAGTCTACGAAATCCCTCACAAGCCAAAGTGACAGGGCTGTTGCAATATGGGCTGATCAACACTAACAAAAGATCAAAACAGCTCCAGCAAAAGCTAAGGGCAAAGACAGTATAAGAGGATTCCCTTTTGATAAGAGCCGAGAAGGGATATGCAACATCCTGACAATTAGTGAAATGTGTCATGATGTGTCCATCTGCTCAGTTCATGCCAAGTCTCATCATCAACGTCTGGAAGGCTGGACCGCCCATGGAGCCAAATCCTGCCACTGTGGCTAAGCCCAACAACACACCTCAGCTGGATCCGTCAGCTGATAGATGGTTTTGTTGCTATGTCCACCAGGGTCTCATAAGTGACATTGAGGCTACGGCTACCATCATATCAGGCCTGATAAACGCTTACATTCTGTGGATCTTTGCACCGTTTTGTCCTGTATTCTTGGCATGAACAGCACATGAGTGCACCCTTCAGTTTCAGGAAGCCCAAACTTCTAACCTATCTACTACTTCTAAATGATTATAAACTATAAATGTCCCTACAATGAGTTCGTTATACTTGTTGCTGGATTCCCCCGCTGTCTCAAAGGGCCACGAAACTGAAGGACGGGGACAGCATGAAGGCCAAAAGATTTGCCGCGCCACATGCAAGACCCGTAGCAAAAATACAGCGTAGGCCCTGCAAAGCATGGCCAATCGGATCACAATCAGGTCTCATGCAACTTCAACTCACATCCTAAAAAAAAACGAAAATTGTGGCCTGTCTTTAGCAAGCTCGCATTCGGTTCTGTACAGATTGGTTAAGTCTAGAAGATCATAAGTGCAAACTGATCTGAAACTAGCCCCCCCTATAAGAAAATCAGTTGGGATGTGCTGGATGCTCTTTCAGATGTGGTCCAAACTCATGTGCTTGACGTCTACGCGTTGCACCCACTGGTCTGCAAACATTCAGACAAAGCTGCCCATCGCTTCAAGCGTGGAGTGATACAGAATTGCACCACGGCATTACCTTGGGCGGCCAGACATTCATTCATAAGCAAGAGGCCCTTGTCTGAGACATTGGTTTGGATTATGAAACTGAATCCCTGGTCACAATGGCAATGTATCATGCTATACTCAGCAATTCACAGCATCGAAAGTTCTTTGCTTTCTTGTCCACCAAGAATGAGAAGACGCGATTCGGAATGAGAATGTTCTTTCAGAAGACTTGGCCCGCATAAGTCTATCCCTATTTATGATCCACACCATCCCAACCAGCGGCAAAAAGCTCTAGGTATTCGGAGAGTTGCTGGCTGTCTGAATAATGAGCAGCAAAGAAAACGTTTGTCTGGAAACTCCAAAGCGGGCCTGGGGGACATGGTCACTTGGAAAGCAAATCTATTTGAAAACATGCTCAAAGTCATTGCCTCAGCTGGTATGTTCTTAGTGATTGACTCGCTCTCTCTCTCTCTCTCTCTCTCTCTCTGACTGACCTGTCAGCAGACTGGCTTCAGCCACCTTGCAGAAGGGGAAGAGAATGCTGATTGTCGCAAGACCCGTGCCAGTTGCAAAGAAACCCAGAAGGAAGATGCTCCGCGTGGCTTTGAAGGAGCACAAGCGAGGAACATCTCTCCTCGGAACGAACAAGCCCTGACCGATTCTGACCTTGTCCATCTGTCCTGGAATGTGGTCCCAGCCCAGTTCTTGCCTACCACCAAGCCCTCTACTTGATCATCACGAAGTTGAATCAAGCAGAATTGAAACCTAATATTTGGCTACTGTCGCCGCAAATCAAAGGCAGGGATCAATTGCGTGTGTATATGTGCCTGGTGGGTGGGTAGGCAAATATGTTAAAGTCTATTCTGTCTATTCGTCTGGATGAAGTAGACTTTACCGACCTGAAACATGGTCATTTTGGGGTGGCTCCACGTTGCTAGTCATCATTTATGGTGATCATTGCGAGATGGTGTAATTCACCCAGCCATGCATGTAAGCAGATGTGTCCATTTGTTCACATGTTTGCGCTGGTGCCATCAGGCAGCCAAACGTCTTTGACAGCCTTCCAAGTCTGAGAGAGCGCATGCCTAGCAGAGCTGGTGCAAGGCCAAGATCAATGGCAATTCATCTCTGGTACCAGTACAAATTCCCACCAGGGGCGCCTTGCTCTTGTACTTCGTGGCTGGAATGATTCTTTTAAGCAACCTCAGCTTCTGCAGACACCGAAATAGCAGTACACAAGGAAGAAACATGTGAAGGCTCCACACTGGAAGGCCCAAAATGATGGGTTTGTGGCAGGAGAATAGTGCAGGTCTCAATCTTCTATGTTTGCCAAGCAGCACAATGCAATCATCATCTCGAGGAGCCGCAGGTAAGCAATCAGCGAAACCTTGAAGCTGAAGGAGTTAGCAGCATATGATGAACTAGTAAGTGGAGGTTTCCTAAAATGTGAGTACCCCAAAATTGATGGTTTATAATGGTAAACCCTGTTTAAATGGATGATTTGGGGGTACCCCCATTTTAGGACACACCCATGTTTGTGAGGCACTCTCTCTCTCTCTCTCTTTTCCAAGATCCGATCCGAGTTGTTTCAGGTGATTCCGGCCGAGGAGATACATGGCAATAGGTGCAGCGTGTCCAAGATTGAGTCTCACAGATTCTGAATTACCATTTTGATTCGCGTATGCACCAGATTCAGTTAACAGACTCAAGAACCAACACTGGGATCGGTGACCCATGATAGCTCGCAGAATTAAATCCTTTGTTTCCTTCGAGTAGCAGTCAGTTCCCCATTGATGACTTTCACCATGAGAGGCACAAAGATGCCTTCCATGCTCTTGAAGGCCTCAAATCGGGCGGAGATCTTGATCCTGTCCTCTGGCGCAGTGCAGTCGTTGATCCACAGCCTGCGCGCAAATTCACCCAATTCCCAAATGCCAAGCTCGATTCCTGTCTTGCCTAGATTTCAAGCTTTCCCATGCTTTCCCTACATCAGGCAAGCCGCTCATGACCAATTCCTGACTACTTGAAACACAACCACAAGAGGAGCAAATTGGTGCCTGAATTCATCAAGTACAATGAACAAGAGCCAAGAACACGAGGCTTTGACTGATTACGTTTCTTTGAAACAAGCCGCACGGGATTCTGGGGAAGCCGACAGGAATAAGGATAGCGCGGGCACCATCTGAAGAAGCATGGAGGTCGCGAAATAGACATAGACAGAAAAGTTGAAATGGGTGACGCCCACGAGAGCCAGCGCAGGCACCTTCAGAACTTCAGAGACGAATTAGCATAATTACTGTAGCCGTCCAAATCATCACTCAAGGCATCTTAAAATCCTGCCACTACAAGAAGATTCTGTTGCATTGTTTTCCAAGTCTAAGCAACTGCACATATCCTTGCTTGCAAATGTTACAACCTCTCATGTTAAACCTTGTTTTCCTTCAAAGGCAAGAACCGATTTGAAACAACGAAATCAACTGCCTCCGAGCACAGGAAGGTCAGAACAAACAAGGGCTTTCTGCCATAGATGTCTGCTGCACGTCCTTAAACAACCCACAGCAAGTCCAGGTCATTTGTGACACTCTCCCAACTGCGTTGCCCAGGTGTCTGTGACTAACTGCACAGTCAGTATTGCAGTTCTAGCTCCCGCCAGCAATCTATCTGCAAGTATATATATATATATTGCATCCTGAAAATTCATGAAAATTCAAGATCTCTTGGAAACACCGTATACGCATGTATATGCATGGCATAGTATTCAACCTGCTTTCTTTACACAATGACCAGCTCAAAGCATACTTTATGGGACTGTGCCTTCAGCCAATCTACGCTCCATCTGTGTTTTTTTGTACATTGTTGTATCAACTGCATAGCTAGCATCGAGGCACATACAGCTAGAAACATCTCTCAACGCAGTTCATAGCAATCTGTGGAGACAAAAACGGATCAGCAAATACGACATTCTTTCTTTGACCGTGCTGTGAACTCAAGGTATGACTTATCCTCAACGCTATGCCGGGACACAACTGCACTTACTACAGTAGCCAAGCATCCAATCATTGGAATCGTCAATATGCTTGCAATCCCTCCAACGACTTGAAACCTCAGTACCAAGGTACAACCATTTGTTTATCTCATCTGACACCATTGGATCTGTGGGTGGCTTTGAAATGGAAATGCTCAGTACCCTCCTCCTTCTCCTGTCCTCGTACCCACCAAGAGTAGGGGTAGAGGCAGCAACAACAACAACAACAGCAACAGCAACAGCAACAGCAACAACAGCAACAGCGGGGATTTAAAAAAAAAAAAAACAAGGTGTTCGTGGCAGCCCTGAAGTAGTGCCGTGTTTGTAAGTTTGAAGCTCATCATTCTGGCGCTATGTGACATTCTCACATTCCAGATCAGGTAGACCCCATTTTTTTCCCGACATCATTTTTCTAGAGTTTCTTTGTTCATGGACTTGAAAGTTGTTGTACAAACCAGCCCTACAAAAAGGATCAAAAAGGATCAAAAAGGAAACACAAACCCTGCAAGAAACCACACCAGACAAAAACCAAGAAGAAAGGTGAAATGGACACACACAAAAGAAAGAAGGACCAGGGGACAATCGTATAGAATCAACAGTGCAGTGTGCCCATGCAAACTGAGTACAGAAAAAGGTAATGGCAAGATGGCGCGAAAATCTCAACATGCAGCCTTTTCAAGCCTTTTCGCCTCAGCACATACTCTCTCTTCTCTTGATTGTTTGTCAGAGATGCATATCACAACCAACAGCTGCCTCGACCACATTCCACCATCAACAAACGGCAGTATTGTCTGTGTGCATGAGTGGGTACGTGTGGAAGATGAAAAAAGTATGCAAACAACTTTGATGCTACTTCAGAAGGAATGAGGTGTCGTGGATTGCGTTGTAGGCACATCCTTACCAAGGTCAACAGATTCCACTAAGTACCTCCCAATGAAACCAGCTCATGGGGCAGAAACAGTCCCTGCCAGGTTTTCATGTTTCTGGTCATGGGGAGTATAGAGAAGGGAATGACTTCCCTCCTTCAGCAACAATACAAAACCAGTACTCAGAGTCAAACGCGAGCGAGTACGCAACTGCGGGTTGCGATTTTGTTGCATCGCACAAGGTTTCGACGCATCCTATGCTACTGTAGCTGGCACCATTATATGCCAAAGCTTGCTAAGCAAATGGTCATGATAAGGAGACATAAGCATAAATTGGCATTAGAGGATTGCTTATCAGCTCATATCTCAAGCCGACTCAAGCCTCATGTGGCCTTCCGACTTGTCGGCCAAAAGACCACAGACTTGACACAAGAAGGCCCAACATGTGTTCGAACTATTTTGAACATCCGGCAAGACGAGGTTGCAGGTAAGAAGAAGGTTACAAACGAATGTCCCCAATCCCAATCATTCCTGGTTTTCAAACCGAAATCGTGCAACCAAAGTCACACTGAAGTTGCTCTTGTCGCCAGTGACATCGAGGTCTTGCAAGCAATCGCATCAAATGCTGGGCCGCAGCAAACATCCTGAGCGAAACATCCAGTGCAATGGAGATTGAGTACTGAACTTCACATGTGTGAAAAAGTGCTCATTGACAGAAGCCGTCCTATCTTCCGCCCATCTATATAAATACAGTAAATGAAAAGAAACTGAGCCCCTAGCCTTTCCACCATTAATGGACGCCATAACGGCATCAAGGACAACCAAGCCGGTCCTCAGATCGGGGTTAGAATCGGTTAGAATTCCATACCACCCACATTGAAGGCACTGACATTGTCCTGGATGCAACAGCAAAGAATACAGCACAAACCTTCGTCTTATTGTGAGCGAGGTGAGAGACGGCAAAGAACATCCAAGCAGATTCTTTGTCCAAGGCCCTAGCAGCAAAAATAAACTGCAACGCCTGGAAACTCTCCCCAAAACTGCAAATGAGCAGAGCAACCAAGGTCAATTTGTTGGAGATCCACATAGTAGAGTGCTTTTGTAAGGTAAGGAACATGTCATGTCTATTTGCGAGGCACGAGTGACAAAACCTACCCAGCATCGAACACACAAGTTTGAATTTGACTTTGTGCCCAAACATCCCACACTCTTTGATAAAGACACAAAGTGCCGCACATGTTGTCCAAACCCACAACCTTAATGCTGGCAGAAAGCAAGTCTCACCCGCTCTGGAACCCCAGAAATCATCACCTTCAATCCAAAATCTGGCTAGCTTGGAACCTTGCTTTCAGGACTTTTTGGAACCTTTGGAGATTGAAATGGATTGAAATGCAACATTCTGGGAAATGAAATCTCCATCAAATCCCATGACCTGAGCTTGGACTTGAACCTTGATCTCAAAGCTTCAAAAATATACGACAGGACCTTCGACCTCTCTGAAGGCATCTCCAAAAGCAATTATTGGACTGGAACTCCAACTTGGTAACCGCCCAACCTCCGGAACTTGTGCTTGTGCGCTACTTTATTTTCATCCGACTAGGAACTTCCTTGCAGAACTCCCAACCTGTGGATGAATGACTGTCACCCCAGGCCAAAAACCTTTTTCAAGTACAAACAAACCTTTAAACAAAGGTGTGGCCAAGCCACGCACCAAAAAGGAAACCAATCACGGGCCCTCCTTGATGTCGATTCATTGCCACCTGAATGCAAGCAAGCTTTGACAAAAGCACGGTCCCCCGTGAAGATGAACCAGGGAGCATTGTGCCAACTAGCCAAGTTCAATGACAGATCTTCCAAACTAAATGAGCCAATTGGCATCCTTCATCTTCCTGGCGGATTTCTCCCATCATGAAGAGAGGACAGGCGGAGCAGTGTCTGCAATACCGGCATCAATCGCAAATGTTACATTCTGTGAAATAGCAATGCAGTCAATCGTGAACCTGTGGCATACAATGCTAATTAGCAGCATAACATTGATGATAATAATGGTGATTGTAGACCATAAGACCTGTTCCTCTTTAAAGGATTGATGTCGTGGCCATGCACCTAAAGCATTTTGAGCAGCTGTGCCATGAAAATACATTGACCTTCAATTCACCTGTGATATCCATCCATCAAATGACTGACCTGCTCTGTGTTTTCTCAATCTGTCTTTAGAATGTGATGCAAAGAGAGAAGCAAAACACAAGCTTTCACCAAGCAGTATCATTCCGCCAATGAGCCCAAGTCCAGCAAAACTGTGTGCTAAGCGCAGCTCATGTTTTTTTTCGGGCATCTTTCCACAAGTCCAAGTGGACATTGGGGAAATGTAGAGAGATTGGCCTGCTCACCTCATCAAACGCATGACCGCTAAAAAATTGCGAATCATGAGCGATGAGGCTCGCATCGTCGTTTCTGCTTTTTCAGTTGGTAAATGCGCTATTGGTGACTGATTCAACTGATTGTCAGATTCTTTGGTCTTGGAGCAGAAATTGGCCGACGACGGTACTCTCGAACAACACATAGCCTCCTTGGTTTCCTTGACTTCCGTTTGAAAATCGGGATAGAGCACTCTCTGCAAAGGAAGGCTGAAGTTTGCTGAAGCAAAGGCTTTCACAGGATCTGCTGGTTAAATTCCTCGAAATTGCATAACATGTGCAGAAGAGATCCTTTCGTGTCTTGGCAAGCCTACTGGACCTCAGAGCAGGAAGTCATTTACCGTTACAGGCACAGTGGATAGCAGCCATCAGAAGCAGCAAACTGAACCGCCAAGAAAACCATGCGCAAGTGGGTAACAATCACGTCACTCTCCTGACTGAATAGAATATGTCAGCAAGCTGTTCTGGCAGAACTTTTGTCCTCAATCACCACACCACATTAGTTTCTGCTTCCATCTATCAGAACTGGCACTCTGAAAATTTACAAATCTGCAGGAGACAGGGTAAAGTGTGTGGATGTCGACCAGAGATCTTGCAGCTTGGCACCTGAAAAATGGTCAGCGATGGACCTTGTTGTCATGCTTCAAACTTTTTTGAATGGTAGGTCAATCCCAACGAGGCCGAATGGTTGACATGAACGTGCGAAGGTATCCTTCATTTCGCACTACAGTGACCAAGTGGGGATTGTTCTGCATAAGGTATGCACTAGGATTCCTTGAAAGTTTTTCGATGAAAGATTGTCATCTTTGAGTTTGAAAATCGTAGGATGTCCCTCTCACAACTGAGTTGTAATTTGCAAACACCCTTCAAGAGCAATGGGCTGCGCAGTGCCACATAACCATTCTTGGGGCATATCGGATTGTCACGAAGCAGTCCCTACTTGGCGAGTACCCACAACACCTATACGCACTTGGGCGGGCCCATGACTGGAGGAAATTCTTCGCATGAATCTTCTCAACTGGCGATAGTCACAAAATCAAACAGTGCAAATGGAATTGTGATGGCAAGCACCTGGTCAGAAAGACTCGCACTGCCTCCGTCTTCCGCTCATCGCAAGTGTGCGAAACGGTTGGAACTGCAGTTTAGGCGATGGACTGCTGCTTCCAAGTGCTGCTATACATGTACCTCCGTAATTGCCTAAATATGCAGTACACAGCGAGGACAATTCTTGCGCTGCTCGAACGTCTTGCAGCTTGGGGCTAGGACGAAGTCTGACTTGGAGAATGGCCAGCAAAACATGCTTAGACTGTCTGAAGCTCAAGGGTCAAAACAGAGGCCCTTTCCAAGACCATGTCTTCAAGAGACTTGTGTTCGCTCAGAACTTCAATCTTCCAGTGCTGTTGCAAAGAGCATTGCATGGCGGCAGCATGTCACACCTGGTTGCGTACAGAGTGAGAAAACATATCGACGCAAGATTCGGTATGGTGATTTCTGGACGCAGGTTTTCATCTGCGAAGGCCAACGGAAAGCTGGGCTTGTCGAACCTATCGCCACAGTGTCCTTACCTTCCTGCTAAAGAAAAATTGCGTGCTCGCACAGGAGAGGACTGACCTTTCATGTCTTTCAAGATGCGGTATGCTTTTCCTTGACGAAAATGCTCAGGCTAGGCTAGACCCCTCCAATCTTGTCCAACGAATCTTCTTTGATGTCTAGACAAATACTCAGGTGCAACCATGCCACACTGACTAATAAAGACAAGAAAACATCAGCTTGGAGTCCAGGTGAGACCATCACATGTCTGACGAGCGCGCGTGCTGAATGTCTTAGCACAGCAGAGTCTTGCAGTTGCTCAAGGGCATTGCTAAAGATGAGGTTCAAAGTATCAGAACGGTATCCAGTTGTAGAAACTTGATGCCCAACAATGCTGATCTTGCTCGGCAGCAGCATCACAATTCTTGATCCTGACAAAGGTCTTGACAAGTACGTACATGGCCCAGAAGCACACAGACTGCCTTTACTCATACCACAATCAAGGCATCTAAAGGACCTCGGCTTTAGCTGGGAAATGAAAACACTATGCATTTTGAAATGTGCATCGGCATGGCCCTTCTTCAGCTTGACTACAATGTTAAAATCAAATCCATCGCTTGGTCAGAATCACAGGCACGACTCGTCTAGTGCTGTTTCAATGCACAGCAACTTGCTCATCCAAACAACAAGCGGAAGATTTCGACACCAGTATGGAAAGTATGGAGTGAGAGGCTTCATCAAATAATTGTGACATGGTGGAATATTCATAGGCGTATCACAGCTAATGAGGTCCATGGGTGGCACACAAGAATCTTGCAACTTGGCACCGAAACCTGTTCGTGGATGGATTTGCCGTCGCTCCAAAACACCCTTTGAAAGTGCGGTCACGTTTGGGGATGATCAAATCATCGATGCTCACAAGCAAGAAAAATAACCATAACAAGTGTATCCTGCCTGTTGTGCCATGACCACAGGTGACGTAAGCTCTGCCCAAAACATGAAACAGGATCCCCTGTCTCCGGCATTGTAACATCTGTAATTATTTCGATACAAGATATTAATTGAATTCACAGTTCCAGTTATCATAATGTTTCGGAGCAAGCCGGAAATTGCTTTATGGGTCTGTTTCAGAAGTCATCTGCACCATGCAAGCGCTCTTGAAGAAAAAAGCATACAGCACAGTCCGAGCTCCCTAGCGAAACGTCCACGCCAAGTGCAGACTCAACTCTGCAGGAAGAAGCGAAGTTCTTAGTCCAAAGACATGTTCCGCTGCTGCTTTTGTAGAACACGCGCACTACTTGCGACTAGGGTTGCAACTCATGTGTATAGCACTGCAACGTGCATGGATTGTGTCTTTCACTAAATTGAAAATCCTTTTGATTGAGTGATTTCTGAGATCAAAGCAACCTCAAAAGCTCTCTCCTGAAAACTAATTGAGTGGCATCGCGTTTTGTTGTCGCATTTGGAGGGTCTGGGTTTATAGGCTATAGCGGCTATGCCGTGGTGCCATGACTCATCGAAACGGAGGTGAAGTCAGGGGAAGGCACTTGTCATGGCCCTCCAAATCTTGGTCTCACACTCCACTTCTGAGTCTGGATCCAAAGCGATGGCCAAGGTGCCATCTGCCAAGATGTCCAATGACTTCAATAGGTTTGATGCGAGGCCACATCCAAAAGTGTTTGGTTTGTAGCCACCGAAGCCCAGAAGGCTTTGCATAGTTCGCGATTTTGACTGCGCTATTGGTGACTGATTCAACTGATTGTCAGATTCTTTGGTCTTGGAGCAGAAATTGGCCGACAACCCTACTCTCGAACAACACATAGCCTCCTTGGTTTCCTTGACTTCCGTTTGAAAATC